TCACTTCAAAAGATGCCCAGACGGAGACACAACAGAGAACTCTGGCTCTTGCTATGCTTGATGAGAAGTATCCAAACACCACTTGGACTCAGGTTTTTACCGACGGCTCTGCTACAGAAGCAGCCAGAAAGGGGGGTTTTGGAATATACATTAAACCCCCTAGCAGTAGAGCAAAAAACTCTCTCTCTACCAGCAGGTGACATCTGCAGTAACTTCAGAGCTGAGGCAACTGCCCTCCTTTCTGCAGTCCAACATCTCATCAATCAAGAACACAGAGGGCACAAAATTATTATACTAAGTGACTCATTGTCTGTTCTCAAAGCCCTATCAAGCAAAAAACAAGACAAACTAATTGCAGATCTAAGGACCAACATTGGCTTACTCTCCAAGGAAGCAGAACTGATCTTGCAGTGGATACCAGCCCACTAGTATTCAAGGAAATGAGAGCGCAGATGAGTTGGCAAAAGCTGGGAGTAATTTTCCACAACCTCATCCACCACACAGCTACAAGGAAACCAAAACAGCGCTAAAGCAGTCTTTCAAGCGGGAGTGGCGATGGCAGAATGGAGATTACAGACCAGAGAGTGACACCATAAACAAACTCAACAGGAAAGAACAAGCTTCGAGCACACCTGTACAGGATAGGCATAAAAGAATCTGCTGCCTGTGATTGTGGAGCAGAACGACAGACCCCTGGGCACATACTACAGCACTGCCCTAACCTCTCCCAGCAAAGACTGTGGATCTGGCCCAAGGGAGCCACATTGAAAGAGAAGCTATGGGGGGCCGGTGGCGACCTTAAACGCACAATTCTATTTGTGACCCAGACGGGACTAAATGTCTACGCATGACTGATGTCGAACGCAGAAGAAGAAGAAGAAGAAGAAGAAGAAGAAGAAGAAGAAGAAGAAGAAGAAGAAGAAGAAGAAGAAGAAGAAGAAGAAGAAGAAGAAGAAGAAGAAGAAGAAGAAGAAGAAGAAGAAGAAGAAGAAGAAGAAGAAGAAGAAGAAGAAGAAGAAGAAGAAGAAGAAGAAGAAGAAGAAGAAGAAGAAGAAGAATAAAGGACCGGCTTCTATCGAAAGTGATACCCAGATAGCTCAGTAACTTTTGCAGTGTAGGAATAAATGTTCAGCAGTGACAAGTTGCAAAAACATTTCTTTTTCATACTCCAAATAAATCGGCATATGTTAGTAATGTCTGTTGTGCCCTAGCTTTTGTCTGAATATAATTCAATGTTCTCTTTAGAGAGGCGATGAAGGAAGGGGTCCTGTGTAGAAGAATTGGCGATTAACTGAACTCTGAAAACGAATGTGTGCCGCACGATAAAAATAGCTTTTTTTCGGGAATTACCAGTACACTTATTGCCAGTTTGGAGTGAGAATGAAACCAAATATTGTGGGTATTAAAATATTTAGTTTTACTCTGTAGCAACTACATAGACCCTCTGTGTTATCTTGTTATTAGCGTTCACCGGTTGTGAACTCCAATGGAAAAATTCTTTGTTTTTACACTTCTGTACTTTGGCCTTGTTCTAGAACTTGATTTGTGTATGCATTTTCGTTTTACAGATCTGACTTATTTGTCTGCATGCTGTTGATTCCTTGCATTTCAGGCAGATGCACCCAAACTTCGAAGGAAACACCCCCCCTAATTGTTTGCGTTTTACTGCATGATTGTTGAGGCAGCGGGCATAATCTTTTCCTAGAGCCCAGAGGGTGAATTTAATGTTATCACAAAAAAGTCACTGCACATTTAGCATTCCTAAGTCATTGGCCAGTTAACAATCAATCCTTCACCACTGTAAACAGGCTTTGGGAAGACTGAGCCGCATAGACTTTTACCTCACAGGACTGCAGACTATTTTTTATATTATTTTCATTGTACACACGAACAAAGCTTAATCCCACTGATGCCCCTTACACCCTCAATAATTAAAAGGGGCTGGATCCTCTCCCCATTTATGATTTCTTTGTGTTGGCGCCCCTGCAGAGACGACAACCAATTGCAATAACAAGACGAACAAACCGAAAATAATCTGCAGTTTAGTGGCCAGCTCTCTGGTTATTCCAAGAATCGTTTCGTAGGCAGACGGGAGGAAGAGCTTCTTTCAGTTTCTCTTTTTGTGTATCCTGCTAGATATTGACTGTGGAAGACGTTGATTGTTTTCTAATCAGGCTGATGTATTAATAGTTATAAGATGTTGCTATTATATTGTTATTGTAGTATTCTTAAATATTGTGACATTCACTTAAATTATACACAAATGTTAGTTCTACTGTAATAGTACATTGGTAGTCAGGATATGTTACCCCTCTTCCACACTTCTACTAGTACTCGTACTTCGTACTTTGCAAGTTGTAGGGGGAAGTAGAATTGTTTAAAAATCTGTTGTTCGCGTCAGCCAGTCTTGCTAGTCCTACACGCCATCTCCATCTGCGATTCCTATGCCTCCTTATAACACAATATAACACCATCGTTATGACAGGTGCCAGCCAGAAGAAGTAGATAGCACTCTTGGAACGTGATGACAATAGTAGGAAATCTATCCAAACGTAGCAAGTAATGTAATAAAATGTTCTTATGACGGTGACTATATGCCAGAACATTCCTTACAAATGAAATTAAGGCTTTCATAAAGAGCATTTCGTGCTTTCCCTCTATGCATGCAACGCTGAAGTCCTACGGCAAGACCACTTTCCGCTTGAGTTTAGAGAAAGTGAACAAGAAGCAGAATTTCATGACTTCATATTGAGGGTGTCGAACAAGTTGAGAAGCACCAGGTGGCATTCAGTAGTGATGTGATTTCTGAAGAAAATGCACTGAATAAACAAATACTTCAGCTATTCCTTGAATAACGGGCACAAAAGATGGCAGCCCCAAAAACATCCTAACAGAGCCTCAGTCACGTGTCAATTGCACACTTCTGGCGACTTAATTTGCAGTTTTCCTGTGACTACCGCCATGGCCAAGAGTCCCACTCACGAGCAGCAGCTTCCGCATCTCCTGCAGCTTTGCTCGTGAGTCCTAGCCATCTAGTTTAACCCCAATCCACGCCGCGGTGGCGGTAGTCGCCGGAAAACCGCAAATTAAGTCACCAGAAGTGCGCAATTGACACGTGACTAAGGCCCTGTTTTTCGCCGCCATTGGCTGCCATCTTTTGTGCCCGTTATTTGGAGGGTAGCCAATACTTCTTCCTCTTCTTTGCGTTCACCAGCTGTAAACACTGGCGGAAAGTTCTGGTTGTTCATCCACTTCTGGACTGCAGTCCTGTTCCAGAACCTGAGTGTTGCATGTGCATGTGTTTTTTTTTTTATCGATCACCGGCTGTGAATTCCAGTGGAAGGTCCCGGTTAATCGTCCGCTTGGGCTTTTGGCTTTCACCTGGACCTGAATTTTGCGTGTACAACCGTTTTTCATTTCCCTGCCTCATGGGCAGCTGTACTCCGACTTCGAAGGAAGACGTCAGGCCTATTTCTAGGTTGACTGTGGCCATTGTTTTGTGTGGGTCGAGACGTTGCCTGATTTGTGTGGTGTCCACTTTGTCTCCTCCGCAGGTATTGCCCTCGGAGTACCCCTTTGGGGCAGCCTCCTGTGGAACAGTTAGCCCTCAAGGGAAGGCAGGGGCAGATCATGGGCATTCCCCGCCATCCAAGGAGGCTTCCATGCATGCAGAGCCGGCACATGGCGCTCTGGTTCTGGGCTCACCCAAGGAATCGTCACGTCCTGCACATGCCTGCTTAACCTCACAACCGTATCAGGCCTCCCGCTCGACAGGGGCTGCGCCCTCTGGAAGTCAGCGGGGAGCAGCCCGTGGGTTTTGGACTTTTGTGACCACACAGATAGGTACATTCTTTTTCTTCGCACGTTAGATTTCTTTGACGAGCCGTTAGCCCAACAGAATTTTACATCCTGCATCAGGCATATCGTTATCAGTTTTGTCCCAACACTCGGGCGAGTGGGGTCTTTGGGTGTGGACATTCGGTCTTTTTCAGTTCAATACAAATTTTGATGGTCAGATTTTGATCCGTATGATCTAGTTTTGTCGGACAATTAGGATGGTTGCTGTTGTGGTGTACCTCAGCGCGGTGTCGACGACACTGAGGGTTAACCAAGGATGTACATGAATGGCCAGCCTATGGATGGTTGCTGTTGTGGTGTACCTCAGCGCGGTGATGACGACACTGGGGGTTAACCGAGGATGTACAAGGATGGCCAGCCTATGGATGGTTGCTGTTGTGGTGTACCTCAGCGCGGTGACGACGACACTGAGGGTTAACAGAGGATGTGCAGTGAACAATGTTCTCTTTACTCCGCAGTCTTTTAACCAAGGGTTGTAATTTTGGCTGTACGTTTGGCAAACCTACTCATGTTCCTTATGAGTTTTGATAACATTTTTCACCCAAGCGTTTGGGGGCAGGCTGATGAGAGCCACAAGGACACATCACCTCTGGGGGCCGCCGAACTCCGAGATCCCCTGACAGCTCTGTTAATGCTCATTTGAGACATTATCCGTGGCGCACGACGAGGACGTGCTGTAGGGGTCTTGTGTGAGGTTCCGTACAACCAGGATAGTTAAGGACTGGCCCCCGAGTGACGTACGGAGTATCTCCTTATACACATCATGTTGGACTTAACTTCCCCTCACGCCTGTGACATAAATCACCGCGCCACACAGATCTGACTCATTTGTATGCAGACTGCTGGTTCCTTGCCTCTCAGGCAGAGGCACTCCGACTTCGAGTTTAGCTCCCAATTAGTCGACTCTTATGACATGCTTTTGGGTAGGCAGTGGGTCTATTCTTGTTTTCCCTATAATAGGGCCCCGGAACCCACACAGGAAAAAAGCAAATACAAATCCAATATTCCTTTGAGAGGCACATGAAAATTAAACTTGTTAGATCAATTAGATACATCTGAAGGCGTGGAAAAGGGTCCTTTACTTACTTTTACTACATTTTTTTCCCCCAGATAGTATATTATTCAGATAAAAGTAAATCACAATGACGTCAAAATTTTCTGGGCTTGGAATGGCTCTCCAAGAGCCGTTATTTGAGCCAAATCTTTCTGAAGATACTGAAGACAGTAGCACCTACTCTTTAACAACTGTGAGTGAAAATGACAATGTCTATAAGGAAGTCTGTATAGACTTTGATAATGCTGACTTGACTGTTTTGAAAATTGAGAGGCTTACTAACTCTCATTTGTGGAAACGCTATGAGACCGAGAGGAACCTAATGATTAAACAGAGAAGAAATTTAGGTGAGAATTTTACTGCAGATTTGTAATTGTTATTTGTTTTGCTGGTAAAGCTCACTTTTTTCTTCAGTGTGCTTGTGATTTTGTATATTCTGTTCATCATCATCAGCATGTACCAGGCCAATAATTGTTGGCTGTCATATTTCACCATCTCACATGATTATCAAAATCATGGATCACATCAGTGTTCATGTCTTACACCATTCATATGACTAAGCCGTCCAAGTATTTATTTTTGTCTTTCCCTTGCTCTCTTTTTATCAGTCTTGCCTGTTATCAGGTTCTCATTCATTTATAACATGTCAGAAAAACACCAATAGTCTGAGTCTAATTTTACTTTATTTTCAGTCTTTAGATATATTTCTTAGTACTTTATGCACACCCACATATGAAAGCATCTTTTTTGATTTATGAATTAGGAATCAAGTTATTTTCATGGGATTCTGGACTTATCTGTAGGTACTCTGATTCCTCACCCAACATATACATCAACATGGCAAGACTAATTGTACCAGTCCTTTGCTAGCTGAGAAGACTTCCTGTTTATCTGGTGTGTCTGGCTGTGCCAATCTTTATTTTTGGTTCTCACGTTCTTTCTGCTTTGTCTTACTTTTGACCTTTTTCCTGGGAGTCAATAACTCATGATCTCTACTATGGGTACTAAAAATTACTGCACTGTGAAGTAATTGGGAGCTGGAACAGCACACTTGCTAGATGCTTGCTTGCCAGTCCAAAGTTCTTGTGATGAAATCCACACAGAGCATTTTTTTTTAAAATTTACATTGGCTCCCAGGTCAGCCAGCTTAAAATGGGAACCATTAAATTAGCTGGGAAAATCAGATAGCTGACTTGATATTATCATCACCCATCAAGTGATATCAAGTGATATTTGATCCGTAGGGCATTAAAGTGGGTCCTATACCTTTTTCACTGACAGCTTGCACGTAGGAGCACCTGTGTTTCACTATAATCTGATAACTTGATCTCACTGCCCAACCGATAGGTTGAATGTGTGTTTAGTACAATTCTGAATCTATGGTCCTTGTAAATTTCCAACCCTTATGCAGCAATTCAGTCCCTGATTTTACGATCTTGAGATGGACAACATAACCTCTGCACCATACCTTCCTTCAGTACAGAATTCTAAAGTCAGTTTCACTATTTGCAGGATTCAGTTTTGCACAGGACACTTGTCCATTTTTTATTAACTTTAACAGCACATAATGTAATGTGGCCGAGGTCACTGTAGTAGATCCGAAGGTCATGGACTGGAGTCCTGGCCGAGCCGGACTTTTTTCACAAATTATTTTGACTCTGAGGTTGACCCCATCTTAAATGGATACCAGTTACAGTGCTCGGAAGTAAATGCAGCCAGCTTGATGTTGACTATATCACCCACCGAGTGCCAGTTGGTCTATAAAATTTAGGTCAAACCCAAATGCTCAATACAAATTAAGGCATGGAAAAGGGTCCTTTACTTTTTACTTTAATGTAAAGTCTTATATTAGTATTTATGTTGAGCCTTTTTCTTTCCACAGATCCAGATTTCACACTTAATGAGAAGTATCTTTATCATGGCACAAGTGCGTTGAAATCTTTCATCTGTGAAGAGGGTCTGGATTCCCGAATGTCTAAGGAAGGCTGCTTTGGCAAAGGGGTTTATTTTAGGTAGCCAATAATGTTTGTCATTGATTCATGTTTTTAAGTCACTCGTTCCGTTTACATTTTAGGTGCAGTTTATTCTTCTTCTGCATTTACCCTTAAAAGGGCAGTTGACATGCTTTGTTGTGGTTTACAGCTAGGCTGCAATATCTGTAGCTTTTGGCTCAAACCTCTAATAAGTCACCTTTTATACTTGTTGAGGAGGTGTTTTTTTTAAAACCCAAAATGGGGTCCTGGAGCTTGTACAGGGAGTATAAACAGTTACATGTTAGAAGGTAGCTTTTGAAAGTTCATGGATGTCCAGAAAGTTGTGTTTCTTGACTTTTAATCTCCATATCTCTTCCTGACTAGTCTGCAGACATGACCAGATCATCTGAATTACTACAGCTTTATTTTGATTTGTACAGGATTGTAAGTTGTTACATATAAGTAAAGTAAAGGTCCCTTTTCCACGAATTTAGGCGTTTTGGGAATATAGGGCGAGAACTATAGTTTTATAGACCAATCGGCACTTGATGGGTGATGTGGTCACCATCACGCTGGCCGCCTTTACTTCTTAGGACTGCACCTGGTACCCACTCAAGGCTGGGTTGACCTGGGAATCAGGTTCATTTGTGAAAAAAGTCTGGCTTCAACAGGGCGCAAACCCATGACCTTCCTAGCTGCCAACGCCACAGCGACTCCCAAGTTGTTACAAAAACTGTAACTAAAATATTTGTTTACACCATTATTGCCTTTCTGAAATATTTGTTTTCCATTGTCTGCAGCTTTACATCTGGTTATTAAGTCTTGATATTTGTTTGACTGCATTAGCCAGATTATGTTTCTAAAAGAACAATATTGAAAATTGTGAACTGGTTAATTCTCTGCAGTGACTTCCCAAGGAAATGTGTCAAATATGCAGAAAGGGGAGAAAATTCTGAGTCTTTTATTTTACTCGTAAGAGTTATCCGTGGTACTCCCAAGGTGGGTGTGATTTTAATTTTGTGTTTTATTATAGTAATACACCATAATAATTGTTTAATTTAAAAAAAGAAGCACTTGCTTAAGAGCTCTCTTTTTATTTTTTATTTTTATATAATCAGTTATTGAAATCTCATTGAAACTTTTATTTTAGAATGTTTCACTTAATTTATGGCACCACTGTCACCATTTTCAGTCTTATTATCAACCTTATCCATACAAGACTGGATGTTATTTTGTATAGCAGTTAAGTGCCTAAGTATAACTTTTTTATAGTTCAACGAAGTTTCCTGGATTAGATCCTGATTGATTTAAAAAGTGACTCTCTGAATTACTGGGTGTTAAACCTTCAGATGGCAGTCTCTAAGAAAGAATCCAAGGGGAAAAAAATGTCATCACTTTCAAAATTGGTAATCCTCTGTCACAAAAACAAACAGATAAAAAAGGCAATTTTAGAACAGATTTCACTTTCATATTTTATTAATTATTACAATCCAGTATGTTATATTGAATGGCTCAAGTATAACAATGAAGATAATGTCATAGACAGATGAAGTGGCAAACAGAGAAGTCTTTGAAAGGTAGTAATGGCAAGAGAAATACTGAAACAAGATCTAAGATTGACAAATGCAATGTTTCATAGAAAGCATAACATCGTGCTGAAAAACTATCATCATCATCTTTAAGTTTATCACTGCAAGCATTTCCCTTAAAATTATCCAGAACTCATTTTATGACCCCAAGATCTTACTGACAGCAAGCAAACAAAATTTTACATCACTGCTGAAAATTAAATCCCACCACTGACCTGGCAACAACACCAACCACTTTCATCATCATCATTTCATAACACTATTTGTCGTTGGGTCACCAGTTTCTGTTGACTGTCTGATCAGCTCTCTCTGCCTTAGGCGGTCAGTTGCGATGGACTTCATGGTTGCATGCTTGAGGACTGTCCAGTCAGTCAAGTTCTGTAACCAGGTCTTTCTTGGTCTGCCTCTTCTCCTCTTTTCCTCTACTGAGCCCAGCAGTATTGTTTTTAAGAGGCCGTTAGATCTTATTACATGTCCATACCATTGCATTTTTTGCCTTTTTACTGTAGTTAAGAGAGATTCATAGTTGTCAATGTGCTGTATAAATTTATGGCGAACTTCTTCATTTGTAATGTGGTCTCTGTATGATATGCCAAGAATTTTTTTGAAACATCGCATTTCTAATGCTTGTATCTTTCTTTCAAGTTCAGCTGTTAAGTCCACGTTTCGCAGCCATATGTAAATGTACTAATAGCTAGTGCTCTGAGCAATCAAATCTTAGTTTTGCATGAAATGTTTTTGGATCTTCATAATGTTTGCTGCTTGGCAAGGACTGATGCTGTCTGGGCAATCCTCGACATCATTTCTGGTCTTGACCCCAAGTCACTTAAAATAGATCCTAAATATCTGAAATGAGTCACTTGTTATAATTTATGGCCTTTAATGTAGATTGGTGAAATTCTGCCAGCTGGATTATTAGTCACTACTTTTTTTTTTTTGGGTGTATATTTCACTGCCATACTTGGTTGATTGATGTTTCATCGAGTAGATTTACAAGCTTGACTAGTTCTTGTTCTTCTCCGGCCAACCCATCAATGTCATCTGCAAATCTCAAGTTTGTTATAGTTCGACCACCTGTACTAACTGTTCCATGTTATTGTCCTAGGGCGTCAGTCATAATTCTTTCTAAAGAGATATTAAACAGTGTTGGAGAGAGGAGGCAACCCTGATGGACTCCTACCGTTGTTCGGAACCAGCTTCCTATTTGTCCGTTCACTAACTACTTTACGGTTTAAATATAAAATAACATAAAAGATGGCTTACTGGTTGTTAAAGCCAACCTTTATTACTAAAGTGACAGGAATTGATATAAATGTTTTGTTTCCTACTTGAATTTAGAAAAATATGTAATGTGCAACTGTGTATTTCATTTTCAGATTTATCCAAAAGGAGAAAAGGATAGAAAGCTAGTTAGAGAACCTGAAAAGACTCCACCTTACAAAGGCTACAGATTTTATGATTCAGTTGAGGTATAAAGTTATTTGTTTTTGTACTTAATAAAACATTGAAAAATGCTTCTTTTTTTCTTCTTCAACATTTGCTTTTTAAAGAGCAGTTAGCAGGTTGTGTTGTGATTTACAGCTAGGCTGTGATATCTGCACCTTTTGGCCCAACACATCGATTTCAGAAAATTCACTCTTCTTTCTCTGCTTCTTCTTCTTCTTCTTTTTTCTTCATCACATTCACCAGCTGTAAACTCCAGCAGAAAGTTCTGGATATTCATCCATTTCTGGGCTTAAGTCTTGTTCCATTTTACATATCTGGCTTATTTGTATGCAGGCTATTGCTTCCTTGCCTGTCAGGCAGATGCACTCTGACTTCGAAGACAACACCTAATTAGTCAAATCTTACAACGTACTTGTTAAGCAGGCAGTGAGTCTATTCTTGTTTTTCCTCTATATTGGGGCCCAGGAATTCACACAGGGAATAGAAAATTCCTATTTAGTCACCTTTTTACTACATGCTTCTAAGAAGGCTACATGCCTGTTCTTCTCTTCCATCTCCCCCAAAAATTAGAAAATAAAAACTAAAAAAATTTGCAACACATTTCTTGTATGCAACAGCCACTAATTTTATACTTACAAAATTTAGAAAAATATTGTCTTATACATGGACAAAATACTGTAGTTACACTCAGAAAATGCTTTAGGTAGCTACTAAAGGTGCCAACATCAACAGTCCTATCAGTCTTTGAAATGAATAAATAATCTGATTTGACTTGATGCATAATGAAATTCATCAAATGCCAATTAGTCTACCCAGAAGAAAAAATTTAGTCTAGTATTAAATGCATGATATATCTTTAGCATTAAAATAGACCTTTCCGGTGTTTTTTTGTGTTTTTTGCATGGTGATGTTTTTTTTAGCCAGCTTTACCTAGATCTTATTTGAGAAAGACTTTCAGTATGCAGGAACTTTATAAACAATCACGTTCTCCAAATCCAGTTCTTGCATTTGCTAGGAGAAGAAATTTGTCTGAGATTATTTGAGAAATCCTGCTGTATTTAAGACAGGCTGCCTTGACACAGTAGCTAGAATCCAGAGATAATGGATCTTAGGGAAATTAAGAGAAGAGTACTAGAACAAAGGGCATCAAACAGCATTTTCTGGGGGACAGAAAATAAGACCTTATGATTAAAAAAGAAACTAAACAGGCTCCAGTAGACAAGAGGTGAGGAAAAGACGCTGACGTTGGATAGGACACATACTGAGAAAAACAGCATAACTAGAATGTCTTTGCATTGGAACCCACAGGGGCATAGGAATAGAGGAAGGCCAAAAAACACATGGAGAAGAGAGCTGGAGAATGAAGTTAGAAAGATGGGGAGGACATGGGGAGAGCTCCATGTAATGGAGAAGGATAGAGCGACTTGGCTTGAGTTGGTTGAGGGCCTGTGCCCCATTTGGGGATAGAAAGGCAGAAGAAGAAGAAAAAAAATTAAAAAAGAAAGGGAAATGACTGATAAGATGAAAAATGGCAACAGGGGAACTCCAGAGTAAGTAATCAGTGATACTTGTTTTGTTTTTTGTTTTTTTAAATAGTATTTCTTGTTGTCTTATCTGGTATTATAATATATTGTCAAAATGCCACACTTCTGTGATAGCAATATTTGTTTTTTGCATTTACAAAAAACTTACTATAAATTACGTTGACAGTTTGTGAATGCATCATATTAAATTGAATGCTTTATATTTTAGGGCTGCCCTGTCAACCACAAAGAGTTTGTGGTCTATGAAAGTCGGCGAGCGCTTGTGGAGTGCATCATCACATTCTCCAAAAAAAGTACTCCTAAAGCAGTTTCTGATAGCTTGCAGCCGTCCGTTGTTGCCAGGAATGAAGCTTTTAGTGACATTGATTCGGGCAAGTACCATAGCTAGTATTTTTTTATATACAGAGATGCATGTTTACCAGGACCAGGACACTTACTAGAGAAGACATTTCACTCAGTCATGCTAGAAATTAAGAATGGACAAAGTTCGTAATCAGACAGTCAAGATCTTGAAACCCCGGCCTTACAAACTGGATTGGGTCAGTCACAGTTACTATGGTTTGAACATGTATGCAGAATAGGAGAAAGTTTGCCACCATGGCAGGCATAGGAAGCAGATAACCAGGGAATGAGATCTCCAGGGTGACCCAGGGTCTGCTGAGAAGACAGCATCTGACAGAGGACTGGAATGGAACAAAGCCAGAAAGAAAATGGCTGATAAAGAAGTCTGGCGATCTTTCTGGCAAACCTCTACACCCCAGTGTAGAAGAGGAGTGACTAAGAAAATAAATAAGCAAACTAGAAATGGTTTTTGCCAATATAGATGGAACTGACATTTTATTTAAAGCTAGAGAGCATCTGCCTAAGAGGCAAGCAACTACATATTTGCACATAACAAATCAGATCTGGAAAATAGATGTACATACAACACTTAAGTCCTGGAACAAGACCAAGGTCCGGACATAGATGACCAGCGAGGACTTTAACCAGAGTTCACAGTAAATAAACAGCAGCAACAACAAAATAATACTCAACATTTAGAAGAGATGTGGCTGAAAGGTTTCTATGTGTCTGAGCTAATGGTACAGGGTTTCTTCACAGCACATTGCTGTTATTTTACAAATCCATTGATATCCTTCTAATTTCTTTTGTAGTGAGATTAGATACCCAGCCTTGTGGGATAATGTTTTTTTTAACATTTTAATGTCCATAACGGTTGGAAATCTTAAACAGTAAGCCATAATGCCTCAATCCTGACAAAGTTGTTGAAGATTAAACATTTAACTTTAAGTAGAAAGAACATGTTACCTTGGGCAGAGTCATTTCTAGAGGAGTAAACTTTACACAGAGCAAACTGAAGTCAGACACACTGAGGGGTCCATAACTCTGAGGGAAGCTTTCCCTTCAGGAAAGGAATTAAAAACAATTTAACTTTAAAAAAAAGAGATTACTTATTTGTCTCTGCTAGAATAACTTCACAGTATTGTTTTAAAAACAATTCTTTATTTTACCTCCATGTCACTCTTGTCATAAAGTTCTACAATGATGAGTAAGTGTACCAAATTTTATTATAATCAGACTAAAAGTTTTTGAGTAACATTGTACCATAGTAATAAACAATAACCTGCCAAAATGAGGAAAGGGGGTGGGGGATTATTTTCATGTTTTATTATGCTAATAAAGTTATCTTATTGCTTTATCAATTTATTTTACACAGAAAAACAGTTTCTGTCAGTACATAATAATTAGAACAATCCTGCTGCATATGCAGGACCTCCATCTAGGGCGTGCAATTCCTCTTGTCTCTTTACTTTGGCCACTAGTACACTGTCACGTCTCTTAGTTTGCTTGTTCTTTCTAATACTTCAGGCTATTTTAACTCTCTTCTGCTTTCTCAACGCTCCTAGTTTCTTCATATTTAGGCCTCTAGAAAATAAAAATAAAAACTGGGCAGAGGCTTGGGACACAGCAGTGCCAAAGTTGAACTCTCTTGCTGAAGTTACAACTGCAAACTGAAGGCAAAGATTTCTTTAGTTCAGCCAGCCGAGATCAGGCTTTGGAAACACTCATTTGAATTCTGTGATTTTCTTAACACATCTACTAAGTTGTTTAGTGTCAGACAGTCTTTCATAAATTAGCAAAAGATATTGTTGTATCTTTTCAATAATGAGATATATGTTAAACATCCTGTCGTGAGGACCCTGGAACTGATGCTTAGCCAGGGCAGACTGGGGAAAAAACAAACCAGGATTGCTTTCCATTTGGCCACAGTCATGGCGTGGAGTTTTGTCTGTTGAAAAAACAGTTGGTCAGTGAAGCCATAACACTTCTCCTCATGGACTCTACACTTATGTTGTTTCTTATTGCTCTCTTGTAATAAATTGTCAGCCTTCAGATGGCGTTTTGTTAAGTTGACCTTTACCACGTCCTCCTTGAGCCAGGCCTTGATTTTGGCAGCGACCAAAAACATTACGGAATGCTGTTCCAGATGTTTACTGACATGATTAATACACTTCTTTTTTGTCTATCTGATATTCTGAACACATGATTTCATCTTGGTAAGCTTCACATACGTTTTGGCGTCGTCATCAGAAAGTAGTGATCTGTAGCAAAGCTTATGACGGGCTACAGAATGTCACCACAGCACTCATGCATCCTTCACCTCCATCATCCCAGCAGATCCTGTGAAATTGTTATCACAGTTTGGAGGATGGTTTGTCTTCCATACTTCAGGTTTAGCTGGTTTGGCTCCTGATAGAATCTTACCCGTGGTTTAACACATATGACCTTATATGAACATAACATTCACATCTGTGTGAAGTCATTTAAGTACATTTACTGCACAGCCCACTCCAATGTGAGGTGTGTGGCCTTTGGTCAGCAAATTGCCATTGAAGCTGACAGTAACATCTAGCACATCATTGTCATGTAGAGTGATGTCTGATAGCTGTGGATGAACTTTATGAACAAACTTTACGGTTTGAGAGAAAACTTTACGGTTTGAGAGAAAAGTATGTCTTCCACATCTTCTAACTTTAAATGCAATTGTTTATTAATTTTGTTGGGAAAAATTTTGTGATGAAGACCTTGCAGGTTCATAGTTCCGCAAAAAATGTTGAATGTTGTTGCTTTCATTCCACAGACTAATGCAGAATAAACTACTTCTTCACAACAAGAGCAGTAAACTTCTGCAATCAAAACTATTCCAATAGCTCTCCTACAAGGCACTAACCACGTCTGCCTTATCATGTATCAGTATTCCACCAAGTTGTGCAGAGCCAGCCAGTCTGTCCGCCTGTTCATTTCCCAACACACCGGCATACCTCGGTAAAAAAATCCAGACAATACTCTCACCCATGTCCTCCGCAGCAAAGCATGCACCTCTCTACGAAGCAAACATGTTCTGATCTTCCTCAGCATGCTTTCTGAGTCAGTTACAATCACGATATATGTGTGTGACTTGTTCTCTAGCCAGCGGAAAGCTGCAGTGACCGCCTCCACCTCCATTCTTAAGCTGGATGTTGTGGTATCATATGCTAGGCTCTCCTGCACCAAACGTCGATTATTAACTTTTGCTAAGAAGCCCCAAGCACTTCTTCTGTATCTTGACACTAAACCATCTGTGTAAATGATCAAATCCTCTGAGCGAGCATTATGTTGAATTAATTGCTGAACTTCCACCTCTGTGACACCTGCTGGCCAGTCTCTGCATTCTTGGCTCAACATGATTATGACTACACAAGTCTGACTGTTCAGGGGCCACTTTGACCCACTCCTCTCCTCGCCTAATGTTCTCAAGGATGCATGCCTGTCTGATTGTGTCTTCTGCCTAAGCCATCCATGACCTCGCTCTTATCAGCCGCTGACCCTAAACCGCACCCAGAGCTTCATGCAAAGGGTAGTCTGTGTCTGCAGCTACCAAATCTGACAGAAGACATAGTTGGGGATCTAAAAAATTATATTTTCAAAAAATTGTTGACTGACTAAAATTTGCTATTTTGTGACCTGCACATTGCTTTAATGCCAGAATTCCACCCCCCCCCCCCCCCCCCCCCCCCCCCCCCCCAATTTATTTAATTGAATAATGTTCTTTAATAGTGCAGCATAATAAATAATCTAATTTTTCTTCAACAGATTTTTCAGATTCTGACACTGATGCACCTACTGAACGGCGCCGTGTGGATGGTAAGGTCTAATATGTCACTAATAACTAATTGGGAACCGTTGTAGCAGTGTCTAGATGCTTACTTGTCAGCCTTGGATTCTAATCTGCATTGAGGCAGATTTTCTAATTGCCCTGGGCTGCCAGTCTAAAATGTGTACAAGGTATCATGTTGACTTCATTGCCCACCAAACACCAGTTGCTGTTTAAAAATATGGATTTAGCATCATATGCTTGATGTATCAATGACATGAAAAAGGGTCTTTAACCTTTACTTGCTAAACAAGTATCTTTTCAGTGCATAATATTACTGTTTGCAGCTCTACTGTGGAACTCAGTAAAGTATTCATTATTTTTTTCTTTTTATTCTTCCTGGTGTTTACTGACTATAAACTCCAGGAGAAAGTTCTGGTTGTTCGTCCACTTCTGGACTTTAGTCTCATTCCAAAACTTGAGTTTTGCATGTACATTCATTTTACAGATTTAGCTTATTTGTAAGCACAATGTTGGTTCCCCACCTTTCAGACACATGCGCTGCAACTTCAAAGTAAACAGCCCTAATTATTTGACCTTTGTGACATTCTTGTTAAAGGGGCTGCGGGTCTATTCCCCCCTCCCTCCCTAAATGGGGCCCTGGAACCCCAGGGTTTCACCAGCAAACAACTCCATTGTTCATTTATAGCTTTCCCGGTGTGGGTTCCAGGGCCCCATTTGAGGGGAAAGGAAAGAATAGACCCACGCCCCCCCAACAAGCCTGTCTTAAAAGTTGACTAATTAGTGGTATTTCCTTCAAAGTCAGTGAGCATCTGCATTCAAGGCAAGAAACCAACAGTCTGCATACCACACACACACAAAATGTCAGGTCTATAAAATGGATATGCACGCAAAGCTGAAGTTCTGGAAAGTCCAGAAGAGGGCGAACAACCAGAAATGTCTGCCAGTTAACAGCTAGGGAACACGAAGAAGACCTCTTGCTTCAGTGCTTTAAAGATTCTTGTGATCATGCTCCTCTACAATTCTCCAGTCTCTTTATCTCTTTATAATTTCAGAATATGCTGATGACAGGAGTCAGAGCTCTGATGATGATAGTGATGAGGACATTGCAGGAGCCAACGACAGTTCTGCAGAAGTTTTGCTGAAACAGAAACAGGCGGAATTTCGAAAGAAGACTGGAGTAATGGATGATTACATTGTGGATCAGTACCTTCTCAGAGGAAACCTGAGTGTCTCAGAAGCTGTTAGGTTGTTTAGAGAAAAGCCCAAAGGTTAGTACTTGTCAGTTACTTGATGGTTGTAAATATGTTAGCTGCTGACGATGAGAATGGATCATTTATGGGACAGTTTAGAGTGCTGTGATGTCAGTTCTTCACTCAACACTTAGCTCCCCGTGCAGGTTCTGGGGCCACATTGTGGGGGGAAAACAATAATAGACCCACTGACTCTCTAACAAGGATGTTGTAGGTGTCAACTAATTAGAGGCTTTCTTCGAAGTCTGAGCGCATCTGCCTGCGAGACAAGAAACTAACAGTCTGCATACAAATAAGCCAGATGTGTTAAATGGATGTGCTTGCAACACTCAGCTTTTTAACAAGACTAATTTCCAGAGGTGAACAAACAACCAGGACTTTCTATCATAGTTTACAGCTGGTGAACCCAAAGAAGCAGAAGAGAAAGCTCAACTCCTAGCTCATAATTGTAAATATTCAGTTTGAAACCTTTATTACATGTATTTATGAATATATTTGTGTTGAGACATTCAGTTGCAAACCTTTGTTGCATGTATTTATGAATACATTTGTGCTGAGACAATCAGTTTCAAACTTTCATGGCATGTATTTGCTAATACATTTGTATTGAGACATTTAGTTTCAAACCTTCATTGCATTTATTTGTGAATATGTTTGTGTTAAATGTTGATCTAAGAACTGACAACACAGCGTTCGGGACATTTCCACAAGCACCCTGTCCTCATTTTCAGCAGCCATAAAAGAGTACCAGTTTCATTAGTGCCTGAAGCTGTTTGATGTCCAGTTTGCCTTTTCTCTAACTGTAGAGTGTTGACCTAATCCTCTGGTCACTCCTAGCTGTACCACTATCTCTAGACCATAATGATTTAATTGTACCTCCCTATTGTTCTCTTGCTGCCAAGTTGTTATCAAGTGTGTGTGTGCATGCATGTGTGTGTGCATGCATGTGTGTGTGCATGCAGGTGTGTGTGCATGCATGTGTATGTGTATTGGTATCTTATCTCTCTCTATGCATATTATGTATGTGCGTGTGTCTGTGGCTTAGGTGTTGTGAACATGCTTCAAAATTCTGAAACGCACAGTATAGGATGTACCCAGCATGCGATTTTGACCATAATATGGAGTTCTGACCATTTAGAAATGGAGTTCTGACCATTTAGAAAGTAATGGAAAACTATTGAATGGAAAATTACCTAGTAAAACCAAACATCCCAAAAAATACTGGGGTTGGCTCTGCAACATATTTTAAAATATATGCAGCTAACTATATGTGTATGTGTCTATGTGTGTGGAGAGAGAGAGAGATTTCAGTTTAATGATTTGGCTTGGTGCAGATTTGAACTGAAGATCTTCAGACTGGACTACCCCAGCTCTCAAATCATCATCATCATCAGTTCTCGTTATGCCTAGTGGCACATGAGGCTTCAGAGAGGACTTTCCATGCTTTCCGGTCCTGTGCAATCTTTAATGCAGTTTTCCATGTCAAAGATGCCACACTCAGGTCACTTTCCATCGTTTGTCTCCATGTTGTTTTTTGGGCGCCCCTGTTTTCTCTTTCCCTCTGGTATCCACGTGAGAGCTGTTTTGGCAGGTATATCAGAAGTCATTCTCATAACGTGGCCAAGCCATTTCCATTTTCTCTTGGTTATCATACTGTCTAGAGTTTCTTGATTTGTGACTTGAAGTAGTTTAGTGTTTGAGATTCTATCTGGCCAGAAAATTTTGATAATTCTACGTAGACATGTGTGGTGGAAGGTGGACAGCTTGTGAACATCATTTTTGGTCATTCTCCAGCATTCTGCTCCATAAAGAAGAACTGGTAAAAATGATGCTCTTGTAGAGGTCAGAGGGTCTCAAAACCGCTGGATGTTTAGAGCACTTATTTCCTCTGGAAGTTTCAGTAATGTTGTAGCTCTCATATCAGATACTGCTTAAATTATTAATGTTTTGATGTCAGAGGATGGTTACAGTAATAATACTACTACAATAATAATACTAGTTTAAATCCTTGGAGCCTCATTTTGGGGGGTGAAAAAAGAATAGACCCCCACCCTTTTCCCAACAAATTACTTGCGGTGCGACTTAATAGGGATGTATTCTTCGAAGTCAGAGTGCATCTGCCTGAGGCAAGGAACCAACAACCTGCATACAAATAAGCTAGATCTGTGAAACAGATATAGATGCACAACTCAAGTTCTGAAGCAGGACCAAAGTTCACAAGTGGATGTACAACCAGAATTTCTGCCTGTTTATAGCCAGTGAATGCTAAGAAGAAGAGCTTGTTTAAAAAAAAAAAAAAAAATTTCATTGTGATGGAATTAAGTAATGTTACACAACCATAGAAAAACAGGAGATAAGAAAACTTTATTCAGTATGAAGTAACCAGTAATTAACATGGTGGGTTGCATGGCACATAATCAGTCAGTAAAGGACCACCCTTTTCCACGCCAAAAGTCATATTGGGCATATAGGGCTAGACCTGTATTTAAAGACCAATTGGCACTAGGTGGGTGATGTGGTCAACATCACACCGGCCATCTTTACTTCTCACTCAAGACTGGGTCGACCTGGGAGCCACTGTCATTTTTGAAAAAAAAAAGTCCAGCTTCATCAGGACCCGAAACCATTTAGCCGCTACACCACGGTGACTCGCAAATAATCAGTGAAATCATTTTTTTTTTGTAGATGGTGAACTGGCATACAGAGAAGAGATACCAGGGCGCTCTGAGCTAGAATTGGAGTTAGAGCAAGCCAACAAGAGACCGGAACATCCTGCCCCAGGTTCCAGTGAATGGCAGAGATTGAGTGAGGAAGATAAGGAAGAAGTTATCAAGAGTCTGGTGGACGATTTCCTCAGTGTCACTGGCATGACAGAAAAAGACTATGCCAGGACACGTCTGTCGTCAGTGAACTATAGCCTGGACCATGCAGTGCTTGCCCACTATGAAGAAATGTGAGCCTTGCTTGCAGTTTGTCACAATGGTATTGGATAGTTTTTCTCAGTGTGCCCTTTGTTTTTTTTTTTGTTTTTTTTTTTTATATATTATAGATTGCTTTCCAACTTATATTGTTTCCTTTTTTTTCTTCCCATCTGTATATACTCCATATTTTTCATGAGGAACTCTTAGCTGATGAGTTAACAAATTTTATTCTCTTGTGTACGACTTGAACAACTGGATACTGGGGATAATTGTTTCATATTGCATTGGTAGGCAAACAACACTATTGATTCTGAGCATACTTGTGAACTCTCCGAGTGGTGAGTCAGGGTCAAGGTTAGTTGCGTATCCTTTACAGGACATTGCAGAACCAACCCCAACAGCCCCTGGCTGTTGTGTGGTTTTTCTAGGCAAATTTACATCCAGTAGTTTGCCATTGCTTTCTGGATGGTCAGCTTTCTTGATACCACTGTCGAAACCAACGCAAGGCGCATGGCCACAGCTGGGATCGAACCCGGCATCCCGGCATTACAAAGCGTTCGCATCGACTTAGCCACAGAGCCGACGGTGAGTACAAGACTCGGTTGATAATTGTCCCCCATCATTTTGAAAAGTAAATGTGACTCTCTTGCAGTGAGTGCCATTGCATGACAAATTGGCAAAGTTTATCTCAGAAGACACTAAGATCATCCCTTCTATGCTGGTGGGTTTTGGAGCACCAGTAAGCAGATTAGGTTAGCTGGGGGTACTTAACTCACCTCTGGCAGGGATTCAGTATGTCAAATCACAGTTTGACATAGGCCCAAAGTTACAGTCTCTGGCGTAAACAGTTTACACCTCCAGCTCTGACCAGTCTCGGTTGAGGAAAGGCTTCAAATCTGTACCGAAACTTACCACCTAGCGAATTTTTGAAGTGAACTCTTTTGTGTGTTTCATAGCTGTTATCCAACACAATATTGGTATATTATTTAAGAAATATATAATATCGCTACATTACAACTATCTATCAAGTAGAACAGAAGATATTGTCTCAAGGCACCTTGTGACAGTTACTGATGCAATGTCCTTTCCTGGATCATCTTCTTGTCCTGCCTTTTTGAGAAGACTGAAAACATTGGCCCAGTTCATTGTTTTTCCTGTGCCTACCGTGATCCTGCCAGCAAGCCAATCTGCTCAAACATTCCCTCTTACCCCAGAGTACCTTGGCACAAAAATTAAACTGATTCCTGTCAGAGGACATTGCCTCAGAGACTCCAACCACTGTCTTTGAATCCATCCTGTCATGTTAATGGAATTAGATAGCAAGTGTGGGAAAGTTATGCCTTTAGCCAGGTCATTGCTTTTGATGACACCATCACCTCCATAGTAATACTACTTGTAGTCAATGTAACAGCACTGCTATCTTCTTTAACAGTTCTCTTCCAACCAGATCTGTGAAAATCCATGACCTTTGCCAAATTTGAACAGATCCATTGGTGTAAATAACTACAGCTCGATCAGCAGAATTCTCAAGAGTCGAGGTTTCAACTTCTGCCTCCCCCACTAACAGGTTTTGTTGTCTGCAGCCTCTGTCCAGTTTTATGCAGAGTGAAAAGGATGTACACCATTTTTCTGGCACTTGTACCCATTCCTTGCGAGGTTCTATGTCCTCAAGTGAACAGAATAATAGTTCAATAATGTCCTTGGCCTGACCCATCCAAGATTTTCCTTTCTTTAACCTGCTACCCTTCTTCCTGCGAATCCCAGTGTGCGGTGGGTGATGTTTGTTGGCGCTGACTCACAGATACACACGTATGCTACAGATCATTGTTCTCACTTCCAGGGTTGGAAGATCAAGGAGGTAACGCATTGCTGTGATCCAAGTATGATGCGCATGGCCTCATTCTGCATCCAATCCAGTCTGACTGTGTTCTGCTAATTAAGAGTCAGAATCACCAAAGGATTCTCAGTTACAGATTCCTTTCATTGTTAACCACAAACAATGCTGATGTATTGTTTGTGATGAGTTTTTGAGCAACTTTCTCTTAAAATGTATTATTTGTGCCTTTTCCCTGAAAAACCAACATTGTTCCTTTCCCATTATCTTGCAAGTTCTTTTCCTGTATGTAAGTGAAGATCTCTTTTCACACCAGTGGCCCATCAGGCATGTGCTGCTAGACCCATACTTTTATAGATCAATCAGCACTTGATGGGTAATGTAGTCAGCTGCTTTTACTTCCCAAGACATTTTCCTGGTGCCTATTTCAGACTGAGTCTTCCTGGAAGCCAAGATGACATTTATCGTTTTAAATCTGCCTATTTTTCATGACAGCTCCTAAAATTATCATTGCAAAACACAGGAGGTCTGTTGTATCACACCATATCGATATTACACCATATCGATATCACACCATATCAATATCACACCATATCGATCAGATTTGTTTGAACGCTAGTTTTAATTGATGTTAATGAGCTTTTGAGAATATTCCCACTGCTGTAACTGTTTAACAAATGTGTTTTTACATCAAAGTATCTAATTCCTCTTTACTTGCATTGTCAGCTCTGATAGCTCAGTTAAACATATATTCAGTTAACAATTATTCCTGTTTTGCAAAAGTTCTATTTCTGATAAAAAACATAAAGCTTTGTTTTATATTTTTTCCTTCTCTTTCTAAAACTACAGATCAAGCGAATTTGGTATTGTGTAATTCTCCCTCTTCAAACACTGACAGTCAACAAGGACATGCCAGTAAATTAATCATTTGTCTTCATCAATATCAGTATGTTTGTATTGATATTACATCATTGACTTGAAAGTAAATATTTTTTTAAAGAATTCCTAAATTCAGCATTATCTGTATTTAATCAGCACTCAATGGGTAATGTAGTCAACACGACAATGGCTGTTATTACTTCTCAGGACATTTTCAGGGTGCCTATTTCCAGACTGGGTCTTCCTGCAAGCCAGGATCAAATTTATTTGTTTCTGAATCTAGGTATTTTTCATGACAGCTCCTCATATTATTGTTATATAACTTTGTTGTCATAACACTAGGGAGGTACTGCAGGAGTCAGATATCTGCCACTGTAGACACCGAGATAAGGGCACTGACTGACCAGCATTCATGCCCAGAAGACATCATCATTTACGCAGATGGGTCCGTGAAGCACACATCAAGATCAGCATGGGCATACACAGCACAAAAGATGGAGGCAACAGTAGAAGAGAATAGCGGTGCTTACCAAACAACTATGTCAAGCATGACCGTGGAAATAACTGCTGCTTGCAGAACAAGTGACCATACATGCGTTAATCTCTTCAGAGTCCATGAACATGCTTCAGAAAATCGCAACAGATTACGCTCTGAATGAGTAAAAAGCATTTGGAGGTCGCAGTTAACCTCCATCATCTGGATCTACACACCTGGGCACACCTGATATTTGCAATAAGTTACCTTTGTATCTTCACCTCTTTCAAAACTAATTTTGGCGATCATATTTTCAACATTCTTCAGTAGAATTCTTCTGTTTTCTAGAGAGATTTTGCTTTTGTTGTTCATTAATTATCCTATTAGCAGCAGTAGTATATTGGTCAGTGCACTAGCTTGCCGTTCCTGCAGTCAAAGAGAATTTCCACTGACACAGATTTGTAAAATTGACTTGGACTCCTAGGTTGGCCCAACCTAAAACTGGGTATTAGGAAATATTATGGGAAGTAAAAGTGGCTCACATCAAAAGAGTGTGGACTTGTCCCTACAAATATAACACCTAATGCAGTCTCAGTGTGTCCTGTTCTGTTCTTCCATCTGATCTAATCCATTTATTTTAGCACTTATATTGCGGGGCCTTCTTCAGATTATCATTACTCAGTTGAGAGATCATTCACTGCAAATCGAACCATTAAGTCCATAGTTGTTTGGATTCCCTCTTCAGTATATCCCGCAGCATGTGACAGGTCATGACACTAGTTCTGTGCTGGTTTATAATTCTTCTTTGGCATTCTGTTGGTGATCTTGTTAGGCCTCACCCCTAAAGACTTGATCTGAACATGGTTGCAGATTCACAGTCTTTAATGTCATTGTTTGTTTGGTAACGGGGTTAATATAAAACTATAAATGTTAAGTACTAGAGTACTAGAACATACTGATTTTACTCAATAGTATAGGGGAGTTCTGGCCTGTTCACTTATTGTGAAATAAACAAACTATTTTACATAATCATTTACCTTTTTTTTTTTTTTTGCGACTCAAAAAAACAAAACCCAACATTTCTAACTATACTGAGTTTTTGTAAACAAATTAAAGTAACTCTTCCTTTATAGAACTAACATTTAACACAACATTACAGCAGAAAATAAAAATGTTGTTTAATCGTTTTTGATTTTAAACTGAAGTGAACAGGTCAAATTGGCAATTATCACTTTGTTGATTGCAATAGTTTATTGAGAATAATAAAAATAAAACACTGCATATAAAATTAAAAACATATTTTATCATATTAATATGGATCACTAAATGTTTTTTTTTATTTATCTGAAATAAAAAGCCAAAGAGTGCTTAAACATGAATTTGTGTTGTCTTCTGTAATTTCACCTTAAAAACTTTCTAGAATGCAAGTAGAACTTAATAATTAATATGGTTTATTACATCTGATGCCCTTAGTTGTCTCTATGATTTCACTTTTGGTTCTTTTTTGCTCTTACATTGCCATTCCTAGTTTTTACTATAGGTGTTTTGAAATTGTAGTGCATCTGCCAGAGAAGCAAGGAACTTCTTCTTCTTCGTTCACCGGCTGTGAATTCCAGTGGAAGGTCCCGGTTAATCGTCCGCTTGGACTTTTGGCTTTTACCTGGACCTGAGTTTTGCGTGTACAACCGTTTTGCTGTTCCCTGCCTCGCAGGCAGATGTACTCTGACTTCGAGGGAAGACGTCAGGCCTATTTCTAGGATGACTGTGGCCATTGTTTTGTGTGGGTCGAGACGTTGCCTGATTTGCGAGGTGTCCACTTTGTCGCCTTCTCCGCAGGTGTTGCCCCCGGAGAACACCTTTGGGGCAGCCCCTTGTGGAACGGTTAGCCCTCAAGGGAAGGCAGGGGCAGATCATGGGCATTCCCCGCCATTCAAGGAGGCTTCCATGTATGCAGAACCGGCACATGGAGCTCTGGTTCTGGGCTCACCCAAGGAATCGTCACGTCCTGCACATGCCTGCTTAACCTCACAACCGTATTAGGCCTCCCACTTGACAAGGGCTGTGCCCTCCGGAAATCAGCGGGTTCTGGACTTTTGTGACCACACGAATAGGTACATTCTTTTTCTTTGCACGTTAGATATCTTTGACGAGCCATTAGCACAACAGAATTTAACATCCTGCGCCAGGCATATCGTTATCTGTTTGGTCCCAACACTCGGGCGAGTGGGGTCTTTGGATGTGGACATTTGGACTTTTACCCATTAAATACGATTTGTGATGGTAGAATTTTGAGCTTACTCGAGTGCCGTAGGATATAGTTTTGTCTGACATTTAGGCTTATCCAGCCAATGGGCTGTTGCTATTGTGGTGTACCTCAGCGCGGTGACGATGACACTGAGGGTTAACACAGGATGTACATGGGTAGAATCTTGCTGCGAGACGCCACCCACAGGAGATGTTACTCGTCTGTGCTGCGGGTAAATCTTCAGGTCAAGGGTTGAGTCTCAGCAGAACAATGTTCTCTTCACTCCGCAATCTTTTAACCAAGGGTTGTAATTTTAGTTGTACGTTTGGCAAGCACTTTACTCATGTTCCTAATGATTTTGGATAACTTTTTCTTCACCCATGCGTTTGGGGGCAGGCTGCTGAGAGCCACAAGGACACATTACACGCAGGGGTCTTGCGTGAGGTGTGATGTACGGAGTATCTCCTTATACACATCATGTTGGACTTAACTTTCCCTCACGCCTGTGGCATAAATCACCGCACCACAAGCAAGGAACTAACAGAGAGCACTCAAATAAACTAGATCTGTAAAACAAATGTAAATGCAACTTTCAAGTCTTGGAACAAAGCCAAAGTCCAGAAATGAATGAACAACCAGAACTTTCTGCTGAAGTTTGCAGCTGGTGAACACAAACAGTTTTCAAAGGGCACTACAGCACTTTCCATGTATATGCATATTATATGCATTACAATTCCATGTTTATACAGCTAAGATCAAAAACACACTGAAGGGAAAAAGAAAACACTGGAATTTCATACAACTTTTAATGTGAAAACTGAAAATCTGAGCAAAATAAATGACTATGTCTGTTGAATTTAACAGCACTGAATGTCACAAAGCTTGTTTTAGCATGTCACAGCCAAGATCATTGTGCAGAACCATGCAAGGTATTCAGGATAACATTTCAAAAAATTTATTTACTTTTTCTATCTTACACAGGATGATTGAAACATCTTCCAGAATCTCTACTCCCCGCACCCCCCCCCCCCCCCACCCTCCCCGCTGAAACAATCTTTCAGTGTATGGATTCTCTCTCTGTTCTACTGCACTGTCCATTTGTCCATTTGATCGAGAGCCTTACCCATGTCTCCTTCATCATAAAGTAGCTCATCACCCAGAGGAGCAGCAGCAACTATTCTTTTCAGCCTGCTTGTTACTTTGCTCATCTAAATGTTCTGGACATAAAATCATGACATGCTCTTAATCTGAGTCTTATCAAGTGATGCAAGCCACTCTGCAAGTAGGCTACTAGTTACAGTTTTCTGAAGCATGCTTTGTGATTCTGTTACAATTACACGTCGGGCTGTGCTGTTTTCAAGTGTAACTTTGTTGTGTCTGTTTACTACAAAACTTTGTATGTACAGCCTTTGGATGACACATTCAACACCTTGAGGGATGCATAGGTGAACCAACTCTTTTCTTGTTTCTTAGCTTTTACTGGCTGTAAACTTTCTCGTTGTTCATCCACTTCTGGACTGGTCTTGTTTAAGCACCTAAATTTTGCAAGCATATCTGTTTCATAGAACAAGCTTATTTATAGGCTCTATAGGTTCCTCACTTCTCAGGAAACTACCCTAATTAGTTGCCTTGCACAACAAGCTTGTTAGGGAAGCAGCAGGGCTATTCTTCACTTACCCAGGACCCACATGGGGAAGTGAACCACCATTTCTGGTGGTGCACCAGGACCAGGGCTGAGACTGGTCAAGACCTAACTACACCTCACCGTGGTCATCCTAGAAGACAGGTTCCCTACCAGTGGGCTAGTCGCCGTGGTGTAGTGGCTAAACAGTCACCTGCGGATCAGAAATTCGTAGGTTCAGATCCTGATGGAGCCGGACTTTTTATTTTTAAATGACATTGGCTCCCAGAGACTCAGCCTTGATTGGGTACCAGGTGCAGTTCTAGGGAGTAAAGGTGGTCGGCACAGTGTTGACCATATCACCCACCAAGTGCCAGTTGGTCTATAAATTATAGTCTAGCCCTACATGCCCAATACGCCCGAAGGCCTGGAAAAGGGTCCTTTATTTTTAACTTACCAGTAAAGTGGCCAACATATAGCTAGGATCTATGTTTCTTCTTAAGTCTGAGTGCATCTGCCTGAGGTGAGGAACCAACAGTCTGCCCACACACAAAAACCAAGTCTGTAAAATGGATGTGCATGCAACTTACAAGTCCTGGAATAACACTAAAGTGGTCACAGCCAGTGAATGCAGAAGAAGAAGCCTTCTTGTGATCCACAGGAGTCAGAAATATAACACTGTGGATTCAAAGTTGTTTTACGTCAAGAGCTTGATACCCAGTCCTTACAAACCCCAGTGGATCAGTCACAGTTACGATGGTTTAGACGTGTATGCAGAATGGGAGAAAATCGGCCACCATGGCAGGCATGGGAGGCTAAGAGCCAGGGAACAAGACCTCCAGGGTGCGCCAGAAAGAAAACTGCTGATAGAGACATCTGGAGATCTCTCTGGCAAACCTCTACACCCCAAGGTAGAAGAGGAGCGACTAAGTAAGTAAGTAAGGATTAGAATTTGTTACTAAAATATGGATAGAGTAAGCTAATATAATAACTGTTTGGCACAGAAGACGATAATAAAAAGTATATTATACATTTAGTAACCAATAAATGCATATCATTGGCACTACGTCAAAGACACTTTAGTGCTAAATCTTTCTTCCAAGAAAATCACATTTGTACACTGAGATCTCTCTAAAATTGTGGATTTTCATGAAAAGTAACACTTCATTTTGACCTAACTGGAATAGGAATTCACATGTGAATATGGTAAAGTGACAACAGCCCTTAGAATACACTTCGGGTGAAAATCACTTAAATTTCGCTTCGCTGACAATGGCGCCATGCCAGTGACAGTACACTGCCTGGTTCTGGATGAGTTTGGGGATTATAAAGTTACCATTTTATCACATTAATCAGTAACAAGATGAAAAATATTGTAACAAAAACAGTAATAAATTAAATCACAAATAAATCATATTATGGCAGCATCTATACACTCGGCAGAACATCTTGAATGTTTTCCACATAAATGTAAATACATATAATATTTTGAAAAAGGGTTAGAGTTGCAATACAACCCTTAGTGGAAAAGAAATAAAGACACTGTTAACAAACTTGGCTCAAGTCACCAACAACAGCACCAGAAAAACTAACTTCTTTTGTATTTAAAAAAAAAAAAACTGACCACTGCAGACTACTTGGCCATTTGTATCATCTCAAGTATCGCACACTTAAAAGAATATAGTGCAAAAACTCTATTTATCATATTTGCCGTTTAGGCAAAACTATCATTACTATGAGCTTACATTTGCAGTGTTGGCAAAACTATCATTACTATCTGAGCTTACATTTGCAGGGTAGGCAAAACTATCATTACCGCATGAATTTACCATACTTGCAGTGTAGGCAAAACTATCATTACTGCCTGAATTTACCATATTTACAGTGTAGGCAAAACTATCAATACCGACTGAATTTACCATATTTGCAGTGTAGGCAAAACTATCATTACTGTCTGAATTTACCATAGTTGCAGTGTAGGCAAAAACTATCATCACTGCCTAAACTTACATTTTCAGTGTAGACAAAACTATCATTACTGTCTGAATTTACCATAGTTGCAGTGTAGGCAAAAACTATCATCACTGCCTAAACTTACATTTTCAGTGTAGACAAAACTATCATTACTGTCTGAATTTACCATAGTTGCAGTGTAGGCAAAAACTATCATCACTGCCTAAACTTACATTTTCAGTGTAGACAAAACTATCATTACTGTCTGATTTTACTAAATGTGGGCGTCTCTGAGCCTGAGGATTTAAGACTGAATGGTCAGGGCCAGTAATGATGTTAATTTTGCCCATAAAAGAAAAAACCATAATCTTATCGAGGATTCAAACCTGGGTTTGACTGTTAACTGTATATCTTCTATATCATTAAGTTATAGAATAAAGAATATATAGCCACTTCTATAATAGTTTTATATCTCTTCTTTTCATAAGAAAATAAATTTACAGTGCTCTTAGCTGTTAGGCCAGCCACTCCTCCTAAAATCAGTAGCAAATTATAAAAAAAAAACTACACACACACAAAAACACACACAGAAAGTAGAAATCAACAGCTTTACAAGAACAGAATTATGAATGACAGAATTAATGTTGCAGCCAGACATACATAACAAAGGGTTCAATTACATGAAAAATTACCCATAAAAAGTCACTTGCATTTTTTTTTCCAGGGCTTAAGTCCAGGAGATTTGATAATAATATGTCATAATTTCCACTGATACACCTAGAACCACAATGGAATTTAGAATCCTGACAGTAACTGGATTTCAAATCCTGACACTTGAAATAACACTAGAATTTAGAAATCCTGATAATCAGAAAAACACTTGCTGATTAGGTTCACCTTCCTGGTGACACAACACACTAGAATTAGCTTAACTGTTGTCCCAAAAGAATCCTTTAACAAATACTCTTTATCGAAACAGCATTAAAAAGAAACACATACACTTTCTCTGAAATTTTACATAAGAAAATAAAGAGAAGAAGAAGCACAAGAAATGTGAAGTCTTGGTAAGTTTTTATGAACATCCAGGGGGTTGGGTCCTATCACCACCAAACAGACAGGCATGAGTGATGGCCACTGTGACATTTAAATTTGTTGTTTTCACTTTTATTAGTGAAATACATTTTTTTTTTTAGTAAGGGAATCAATCACTAAATACAAACAAAGCAAAGAATTACCTACTTTTTCCCTTCTGCCCATGACATAATTTGGTTTTGTTGACAGCCATGTGGAGCAAAGTTGTTATGACGCACGAAGCATCTGTTGCCAAATCTCCTGCAGCTGGAATCAAACCGTGTATCTCAGAATTACAAACCAGATTTGCAACGCCTAAGCCACAGATGCCGACTCTTTGTTTAACAAACATGTAGCCGTATTTGTTGATGCTAGTTAACACCAACCTAGCATTCTTTGCTGATAACAGTTATACACAAGCATGAATTATTTGCTAATAACAGTTATACACAAGCATGAATTCTTTGCTGATAAGTTATACACAAGCATGAATTATTTGCTGATGCCAGTTTTTAAATTTAAAAAATTTAACATTCTTTCATGATACTATTTCTTCTTCTTGTTCACCAGATGTCCAACGGCAGGTTCTGGTTGTTCGTCAAGTTCTGGAGTCTAGTCCTGTTCCAGAACCTGACTGGTGTGTGCACATCCATTTCTCAGATCTGACTCATTTGTATGCAGACTGTTGGTTCCTTGCCTCTTAAGCAGATGCACAGCGACTTTAAAGGAAGCTCCCAATTAGTCGACTCTTATGACATGCTTTTGGGTTTACAGAGGGTCTATTTGTGTATTCCCCCACAATGGGGTGCCGGAACTTAAACTGGGATTTGATGATGCAACATGTGGCCTTCTTGCTGATGGCATTTACACCAGCGTTTTTTTACCTGGTGGTCCTTGACCACCAGTGGTCAGTAAAAATCTCCTGGTGGTCTGTTCAAATTAGTGGCTAAACAAATCTGCCACTATACTGCTGAATGGCGGACGAGATGCTGCACGAGATAATCTGGCACAGGGAGTATAGGCAAATATCAGTATTGCTGCAGCTTCACAGAGGTCGCAATAGCTGAAAAATTAAAATGTAATGTTTTTAGTTAGCCATCAGGGTATGTAAAACAATTTCTCGGTTTTGCCAATCTAAGGATTCAAAAAAAGTTGAAGAACACTGATTTACACAAACATGTAGCATTGTTAGCTGAGGCAAAATATACAAGAGCATCAAATTCTTTGCAAACTGTAACATCAAAATATTCTCCTTCTTCTTGTGATCGCTCTCTGATTTACACAAACGTGTAGCATTGTTAGCTGAGGCAAAAAATATAAGAGCATCAAATTCTTTGCAAACTGTAACATCAAAATATTCTCCTTCTTCTTGTGATAGCTCTCTGATTTACACAAACATGTAGCATTGTTAGCTGAGGCAAAAAATATAAGAGCATCAAATTCTTTGCAAACTGTAACATCAAAATATTCTTCTTCTTCTTGTGATAGCTCTCTGATTTACACTGACAGGTGAGTTCCTGTGATACAAATTTTTCAGCACCCTTTTAGTTCTATACAGCTTTGAGTATGGTGTTGATGCACTGAGCTAGTATTTCCTTCTTAAAGGGCTGTACAAGGACCAGACTTGCAGGACATGTTCTGCAGTTAGCACACACAACCACATGGGCATAACAGTGAACAACTCAGATGAAACCTGTGCATATGCTTGTAAAGTTTATTACTATGCCACTCTGAGGCATAAAATGATGACCTGTCTACGCCGGTCAACTAAGTTTTAGTCATCGCCAGCCAGATTATGTCCACTTCTGGATAGCCCTTTTTTTCCCCCTCAAAATGTTATTGCATTTTCTCAATGTTCACAATCTCCCCATCTCTTAGCAAGCTTATCCGCAGTTTAGTTTTCTGGTAACATGAAAAAAATAGAATTATTGCAAATGATAAAAACAAAAACATGGAAAATATTTGCACATGCTACTTCACAAAAATAGTATTCTATGATGGTGGCACTTAAAACTCATATGTACAGTTCTCTGCAAATAACTGTAATATAAACATATAGTATTCTTTGTTAGCGCCAATTATACAAATGTAGAATACTTTGCAGGTGCCAATTATACATTTTTCATTATTTCCCGAAAAATAATCACAAAATTATAAACAATTAATTATTTGTAATCTGCATGAAAGTTGAAATGCAAAACATCGTAAGTAACATCACACTGTTCAATATGTGGCAGTTATCACAAGTTTAATAAATTAATGCAACAATAAAGATTCTTTTAACCTAATACATCCCACAGCATCAATATCCCCCTCTATAATTTAAAAAAAAAAAAAACAGTAAATGTTAATTAGCAGCTGTATTCTCAATGATCTCTTCAATTGGTTCCTGTGTTTCCTCCGGTGATTTGTCAGTATGTCTCCAGCTACTGAACCACCCGCTTACTGCTGACCTTGCTGAGGAAATTGCACCACCTGAAATATTTAAGTAAGTTTTCTAAATGATTATTTTATAGCAAAAATATTACAACTGTATATCCTTTATATAATAAGGTTATAGAATAAAGAATAAATAGCCACTTCTATGATAGTTTTATATCTCATCTTTAATTAGAAAATAAATATACATTAAGCAGTTTTCTAACTCATCATTCCATTATAGAATAGAGAATTAATATATCAGGCAGTTTTTCCATCTCAGCATTCCTTTTTCTTCTTCTTTTTCTTCTTTTCTCTACTCCTGGTATGCCTCGCAGCGTCAGGGGAAGAAGAGAATGGGCCCTTCTGTTTGCTTTTTATATAGTACTTTTCAGTGTCCCTAATATTTCTGCAGTCTATGTTCTGCGTGGTCGACCTCTGGGTCAGTTACCAATCAGCATTCCAGTACAGAATAAAGAATGAATGTGTCAATCAGGAAACTGTTTACCTCACCTCTTTTTCTCATTTACACTTAAAAAGCAGTTGGCCCATTGTACTGCGGTTTATGACCTGGTTGTAATATTGCGGTTTATGACTTGGTTGTAATATCTGCACCTATCGACCCAACACATCTGACTTCTGCTAGCCTCTAACTAGTTGCCTTTTACAACATGCTTGGTAATAGGAAAGTGACTCTATTCTTTATTTCACCCAAAATTTGATTTGGAAGATATACAAGGATTTGACTCACTGTTTTCACTTTAATGCTGTATAATTTGTTTTTAACTAGCAATACAGCTCAGGTACAGATAGACATTCTGTTTGATTTTCTTTGCTTGTATCAATATTACAAAACCTGCCAACTCCCAATGCTGGTTCTGAAAAAAGAAACTATTCACAAAAAGTGACTAATTAGAGATTTCCTAAAATTTAATATGTTGGTCCAAAAGGCCCAATTGGTAAATTAGCTGTACTGATTTAATACATACCCACAACTTTCCCAGTCTGCACTACATATTTTCCTGTCTGAACAACAGCAGCATTTATCTTCCTTCCCCGCTCACTGTTCTGTAATGTGCTAGAAAAGACAGAAACTCTTATGTACTAAATTAAAGTTCCACATTATGCGGAATTATTAAAAACAACACACACACACAAGTAATTTCCTAAAGATTCTTGTTCTTTCATTCTCAGCTAAACACATCCCCCACTGTCATAAAAGTGGTGGTAAATCTTAAGGTTTTGTGTGTGTTGCAGTATAATTTTTCTCTTAATTTCTCTCTAATTTAGCCGACAGTCTATTATTCTACTATTCTACTATTTCTGTATGGCTATTCGAGGGTCTCCGTGATGAAGTGGTTATGCCTTTTGACTCGTACTCTGAAGGTCGTGGACATCATTCTGTAGAGGTGCTGAACCACAGGTGGTGGCACATCAGGTTCAGGGCTCAAGACTGGTCAACACCTGTCTATAAATCTCCATGGTCATCCCAAAAACAAGCTCCAACCAGCAGCCTTGTCAAAGCAAACAGGATTCTTTGAAATCTAAATGTATCTGCCTAAGAGATAAGGAATCAACAGTCTGCACATAAATAAGACCAATCCGAAGGCAAAGTTCAATTCTCAGAACCAGACTAAAGTTTTTAAAGTGGACCAACAACGAAGAGTTTCCACTGGTGAACCCAAAGAAGATTTGGATAACAAGTGAAGTTTTTTACAGAAATCTAACTAAACATTCTTCCTCTTCTTTTTGTGTTCGCTTTCTGATTTACACCGACAGACAGGTTCTTGTGATAAACTTGTATGTTTTTATGAGTTCCTTTTAGTCCCATACAACTTTGGGTGCAGTGGTGACTCACTGGGCCAGTATTCCACTAAACATAAATAGCAGAACAACCTGGTGGTTGTTCTTTGTTTGATGCTCTCAGCAAGGTGGCTAGCCATTCAGAGAGAGAGAGAGAGAGAGGGGGGGGAGAGAGAGAGTGAGCTTTATGGAATAACTTGGCAATCCTCTTATCTGTAACTTTGAGATGAAAGATACTGTAAAAAGGATACAACAAATGGGTTAAATATTTCATATTCTGTACTAGTTTGATATTAAAACTAGTATCAAACTTAAATTATTTCAAACTAATGTCAAATCAGTACAGCTGTATGGAACTGAAACAGAGAACAACTAAAACAGTTACTAATAAACTTCAAACGATATTAGAGAATCACTAATGTAGAACTTTTGGAGAAACCTCAAAAATTCCAGTGAATTCCAAGAGAGGGGGAAGACACTGGTGTTGAACAGGATACATGTTGAAAAAACTAATACATGTGGAATGTCTGCACTGAAACCCACAAGGAGAAATAAATACGAAGGAAAGTCAATAAGTAAGTCACCAATGGTTATGGGATGGCAGGAAAATGTAGTTGGTTTCTAAAGGTGTCATTAGGTGACATCGAGCTTTATGTCTCCGTTCTTTGGGTGGCTAGGTGTTGCATGCAAATTTGCAACACAGAAACAAAATGGCGACTTCACTTACAGAGTGTATCCTCAACAACAAAAATGCTGTTGTGCACTTTTTTTTTGGGGGGGGGGGAGCGCTGCCTGCAAAGGACAGTCATAAGGAAATGCTTCCTGTTTAAGATGACAAATGTTTATCCTGTAAAGCAGTGCATAGCTTAGTAAAAAAAAAATTCTCAAGGGCGCTCTAGAATTGTTGATGAAATCTGATCTGGTCGTCCTTTTGAGATTGCAACAGACGCATCCGAGGAGCGGGTGGAAGAGATGCTTAGAGGTGACAGGTGAGTAACAGTTGACTGTAGCAGCTGCAATAGGGTGCTCACATAGTTCAGCATTAAACATAATGCATGATCAATTGAAATTTAAGAAAGTGTGCTTAAGATGGGTACCCAGACAACTGACAGACAGATGCAAAACGGAGCACGCAGTTCTGTGCAGCAGGTTTGGGAGGGTTGATAAAACGATAGGACAAGTGCATCACTGTTAGTGGAAATTATGTTGAAAAATAAAGGAACAGTGTGTGTGTAAAAAATTTAATGGTTTTCAAGATATTAACGTCTTTAGTGTTGTTGTTTTTTAACAACAATTTGTGACTTACTGACTTCCCTCGTACGTTAAAACAGGAACAGGAGAATGAATTTTAAAAATAGGGTGAGGAAATGGTGTGAGCTGCATGCAGTAGCAAAAGAAAGGATGACTTAGAGTGAGCTGGTTGAGGGTCAATGATCCACTGTCGGAGAAGGGCAGAAGAAGAAGAAGTGTTGACTTACTGGTTAAACCTTACTCTAACATCAGCCATGCTCAAATTGCCTTGAAATGGGTGACTGAAATATATAAATTGACATTTGAACATTTTTTTAAATACAATATAAATCAACAGTTGAACAATTTTAAGAATAAATATCATCACTTCATTATTCTAAAGGGTCGTGCTATCATGTCCTCCACATCTTGCAATCTTCAAATGACTGTATTTTGTGTGATGACATCTTTCCATGCCAGGATGAAATGCTGTCAACCCTCTCTCATCCTCATTGTTTTTTCCGTACAAAGTAAGCCTTATCACCGTGTGGATTCCGGGGCCCCACTGTGAGGAAAACAAGAACAGACCAACTGCCTCACCAACAAGCATGTCCTAAGAGTCAATTAATTGGGGAATTAATTTTACTATAAATCTAAATAAATTGTCCTATAGGCCTACATACACGGTACAATAATTCTCAAAATTTTTCTACAAATCAGACTCATTTGATTTGTAGTGTCCCTTTGTGACAACTGTATAGAGAACAGACTGACTGACTATGACTTTCAACAGCACCAGAACTGCACCACAAGCGGGGGAAAACAGTGACACAAAGTGCCACCATTCGGAAGAGAATCTACTGGGCACAAGTCCCAGAAAACTCATTCAACCCAACGGTTATATTTAGGGCCCCCGACCACCGCTGGGGTGGGGCTTTAAAATAACAACAAAACAAACAAAAACTGTTCCATACTGGGGCGGAAAACCTATATATAGAGAGAACATACTAAGAGATGTAAGTCACTGTCCTACTCACCCTGAAGGGTTTTCTGTTACTGCAGAATGTTCCCTCTCCTGCCAGTATCTGAAATTATGGGTAGTCTTCCAAGCCGACATAAAAGCTGATCCGAAATCATCAAGTGCTCTTGTATCTGTAATAACAAGAAATAGACCTTAAACAGGACATCAAGTGCTCTTGTATCTGTAATAACAAGAAAAAACCTTAAACAGGATGGCCATTGTAAATTGCTGAGAAATTATTTAGAATACAGTCTTTTGGTACAATTTTATTACAATGCTAAACCTGACAAGCACTAATAATGAAAGAAAACAAATAAATATTTTAGAATGGAAGGGAAAGACATTTTTCTTTTTCAACAAGAATAGATCCCAGTGTGGGTTCCGGGGCCCCATCGTGGGGAAAACAAGAATAGTCCCACAGCCTACCCAAAAGCAGGTCGCAAGAGTCGACTAATTGGGAGATTCCTTCAAATTCAGAGTGCATTTGCCTGAGAGGCAAGGAACCAGTCTGCAAACAAATGAGCAGATCTGTAAAACAGATGCACACGCAACACTCAGGTTCTGGAACAGGAATTTAGTCCAGAAGTGGATGAACGACCAGAACCTTCCGCCAGAATTTACCGCTGATGAACGCGAAGAAGAAAAAGAAGAAAGTCTGCATTGTAAAAAACTAGATCTTGTAAAACTGGATGGACAGGCAAAACTCATGTTCTGAAGAAAAAAGTCCACAGCTCTGCACACACATCCATTTTACATATCTGGCTTATTTCTATGCAGCCTGTTTGGTTCCTCATCTCTTCTTCTGGATTTGAAGTTAGTGGGCAGTGGGTCTAGTTCTTTTGCTCCTCAAAATAGAGCCTGAAAATCCATTTGGGAAGCCAAAGGTGTGATAGGGCCCTTTACTTTTACTTAGTATTTAATAAAGAAATAGTTCAGAAATCTGCCTTCTGGATAAATGCAATTTTAAGTATTCAGGTAGATATAACACATAAATGTCTTTGCTCAAATACATACCGTCTGCAATGACTGTTGCAAATAAGGAATTGAGGTAATGTTTAAACTGTGCTCTCACCCATTCATCACTGCCTTCCCATTCTGAAATAACAATATACAGATCTGCAACAATGTACACACATTTTAAAAAGTTCAAGAAGTAAAGAAAGCATGTTAATTTCCACTCCTGCTAATCATAGAATATTAACTCTTACAGTAGCAAAGAACACCATACATGACTTGATATTACTGAGGTGCACCAGCTGATATGTTATCATGTTTGTCAAGGACTCTTTTCATGCCACTGGTGCACGGCATAGTGATTTTGGTCACAGGTATGAGGGAAAGTTGAAGTCGTTGTGATGTGTATAAGGAGATACTTCGAACCATACCTTGGGCGCCAGCAAGCTCTGTGCTGGTTTTATGGATCCTCATGCAAGACTCCTGCCACATGTCCACGTCATGTGCTACGGATAAGCGCTCACCTATGTGACCTGAACCATGCTGGCAGGGGATCTTGGAGTTGGTGGTCCTAAGAGATGCGGTGTTGTGTCCAGTCTGAATCTCATCAGCCCACCCACTAATGCATGGGTAAAAACGACTATCAAAACTCATTCGGAACATGACTACAACTGCTGGCTGAATATACCACTAAATGACTCTTAGTTAAAACATCTTTCGAGTGAGAAAAAATCAACAACTGCTCACACTCAGTCCTAGATGAGCACCATCTCATGTGGGCAGTTTCTCGCAGGATAGTCCTATCTTGGTAAATCCACTGGTGGCCCTCAACGACATTGTCACCACATTGAGACAAACCAAAAAAACCTGCCAATATCAGTACTCTGGTTTCCCTGTGTGGGTTCTGGGGCCCTATTATAGGGAAAACAAGAATAGTCCCACTGCCTACCCAAAAGCATGTCGTAAGAGTCGATTAATTGGGAGCTTCTTTCGAAGTCAGAGTACATCTGCCTGAGAAGCAAGGAATCAAGAGTCTGCATATAAATTAGTCAAATGTGTTCAACAGATGCACATGCAACACTCAGGTTCTGGAACAGGACTGCAGTCTAGAATTGGACGAACAGCCAGAACTTTCTGCCGGAGTCAACAGCCAGTGAATGCGAAGAAGAAGAAGAAGTACTTTGATTAGACCCAAATATTGTATGTTCCATCATGCAGCAGTAAAGTCCTCAATGTCTGACTATTAAATGTCCTACTGCTTGGCAGAAAGGTTCAAAAGTTTGGTACCATTTGGCCCCCTCGCCAACATGTCAGGACCAAAAAGAAAGGCATGCCTGATTGGTGCTTTTTCCATAGTGTTGTGCTACGTGTCCAGGTAAAACAACATTTGTCTAATGTGTGCAAAAAGAATTGACCTATTTGTGTGGCCATCAAAGTCCCGGCCATGCAGCCCTAAATTATCAGCCATGCAGCCCTAAATTATCAGCCTTGCAGCCCTAAATTATCAGCCTTGCAGCCCTAAATTATCAGCCATGCAGCCCTAAATTATCAGCCATGCAGCCCTAAATTATCAGCCATGCAGCCCTAAATTATCAGCCATGCAGCCCTAAATTATCAGCCTTGCAGCCCTAAATTATCAGCCTTGCAGCCCTAAATTATCAGCCATGCAGCCCTAAATTATCAGCCATGCAGCCCTAAATTATCAGCCATGCAGCCCTAAATTATCAGCCATGCAGCCCTAAATTATCAGCCATGCAGCCCTAAATTATCAGCCATGCAGCCCTAAATTATCAGCCATGCAGCCCTATATTATCAGCCATGCAGCCCTAAATTATCAGCCATGCAGCCCTAAATTATCAGCCTTGCAGCCCTAAATTATCAGCCTTGCAGCCCTAAATTATCAGCCTTGCAGCCCTAAATTATCAGCCATGCAGCCCTAACTATCAGATTCAAAGACTCCTCTGCCTAAACCACAAAAATGGTAAAATACAAGAGGTAATGATAGTTTTTAGTACACAAAATTGCAATCCCATAATAAACAAATTGTTACACATACCTGTTCCATCTAAATAGGCAATTTTCTCTTCTGTAACAATCTTGACCAAATAATCAGCAAACCTTAAATCGGCTGTGGTTAAGCTGAGATGTCGCTGGAGTTCTTTGTCACGTATGTCTAATTTGCCGTCACCAACCTGGACCAAAAAACAGTGACATACTGAAATATTTGCTGTAGCAGTAAATTTCGTGTAAAATTGAGGCAGCAATCATCGATCATTGTAAAGGTTATTTGTTTCAGAAGCTGCTATTCTTAGAATCATTATCGTCTTCATGCTCACTGACTGTAAACTCCAGCGGAAGGTCCTGGTTGTTCGCCCACTTTTGGACTTTGGTCTTCTTCTAGATTTCAGTAATTTTCTATTTTAACATCTGGCTTATTTTTATGCAGAATGCTGGTTTCTCGCCTCTCAGGCAGATGTACTCTGACTTCGAAGGAAACATCCCTAATTAGTTGACTCTTATAAAACGCTTGTTAGGTAACAGTGGGTCTATTTTTCCCTCAGAACAAGGCCCTGAAACTCACAGAGGGAGAGCGGCTTGTTATCTGTGTTGTGGTTCACAGCTAGGCTGCAAAATCTGGCCCAGAATATCTAATTTTAGCTATCGCTTAATTAGTCACATTTTATGACATGCTTGTACTCAAAGCCTCAGATATTCCAGCTTTTCACTGTTTGTGTGTTAGGCTCCTAGCTCCATGTCTGTTGCGCTTGTGACAGTGCTTTCTGTGATGCACTGTTCTTTGGCAATCTTGACAGATGTCTCAACAATTGTATCTACTTCCGCTTGATGTTGTTTAGCATTACTGCAATCCCTATTTGATACTGTCTCTTCTTGCTACATATCAAATTTGTCATAAACATTTCTCTTCTGTTGTTTCAATTTTTCTGTTTCCTTACATTGATAATGTGCATGCTTGACCTAGGAGGATGACCATAGCAATGCAAAGATTAAACAGCCTAAAATGTCTATGATTAAGCACCAGCAAGGAGATCAAAATTAGAATTTTGAGAGCATGCATCTTCCCTGTAGCAACACTCAGATGTGAGTTGTGGACTATCTCCCAGTCCTTAAGAAAGTTAAGAGGGACTTTTGAGCTTAAATGCTATAGAAAGATTCTCAGAATATCTTGGACGAAAAAGAGGAGAAATACTGACATCTTGAAAGATCTGAACATCACGGTAGATCGGCTAATAAACAGCATCCTGTCTCGGAAGCTGAAATATTTTGGTCATATCAAACGCCACGACGGATTGGAAAAAATTATAGCAGAAGGCATGGTACCAGGAAGGAGGCGCAGGGGCCGACTAACACGAAGATGGGCACAGGATATAAATGACTCCTTGAGTATGAAAGTACATGAGGCGGGAGAGCTGGCGACAAACCAAGTTTCTTTCAGGCTGACCGAAATAAGAGCAACGTACTACAAAGGACCTGCTACATGATGATGCATGCTTAGCACTTGTAATAAAATGCTGGTAAAAATACTTTACTGAGCAGGGCTCTCTTGATGTCAATCATTACAGGTTATATAATATAAACAAAAGACAAGTAAACCAACCTCAACTAAAACATCAATGAGTTGACGCCTCTGTTTGAACAAAACATTGGTAGCTCCAATGACAAAGCTTCTTGTATTGACGTCTGTCAGAATATCATGATACTGAAGACTCAGATAAGGATGACACACAGCACCCTGCAAATAAGTTGTATCAATCCAAATGTGCATTTCATAACAGATTAAACATTATACTAAACGGCATATGCCAGTAGAATCTGTTACGTAGACGTTTCTGGCACTTAGCATAGCAGTATGGGGATCATGCATTAGGCATGGCTTCCCCATATGGTCACAACACCGTGATGGGTGTTTACAATGATAGCGGACATTTGAACTTTTTGTTTCATCGAGCAGAATCTTTGTATGATTGATTTCTGAACCTTAGCTGTCACTGTCACTGGATATTGAGGGGTATTTTACAGCCTTATTTCTGTGGTGGCTTTGTCCCAAGGGGACCCATGCAGACTGGTTGGCTCTCAAGGGAAGGCGGGGCATAAAAATAGGGATTCCACGCGATCCAAGGAGGCTTCTATAAGTGCAGAGCCAATAATAGGCTCACCCAAGATATCGTCACATCCTGCACATGCCTGTTTAACCTCACAGCCAAATATTCAGCCCACTCTCTAAGGGTTGCACCCAATGAGGATCCCCAGCAAACAGTTCACAAACCCAACTTTTAATACCTTCAAAAAATGGGCATCTCGCTTCCTCAGCAGGTTAGTCTTCTCTCTTTGCCAATACTACCTTTCAGTGGATTCCCCGGGGCTTTTTGTGCAGCAGTTATAGGAAGACTGCATTAGACATGGCTTCCCTGGATGGTCATTTTGCTCGGTCAAGTATGGCTAATGGTGGGAGTCTTGAATGATGTTCCGTAAAACAAGCACAGAGCCAGCTGGTGCTCAAGGTGAGGTATGGGTATCTTCTTATACAACGGCTTCGACATTTTCTAATACCTGTAACTGAAATAACCATGACACCTATGTTGACATCTCTCTCTCTCTCTCTCTCTCTCTCTCTCTATCTCTCTCTCTCTCGCCTCTCTCTCTCTCTCTCTCTCTCTCCCTCTCTATGTAAATGTGCACTAAAGCACAAACAGAACACAAGAAGAAAATACAGAATGATCAATAAAAAAGTTGCTGGTGGTCATAACAAATAACTTGCGTTATTGACAGGAATTAATTGATACAGTGATAGTAGAAAGTGATAAAATGGGCCTCAGTTTGAATAATGGGAAGACAGAAGTAATGGTGATGTCTAAGAACAGTGCCTAAATGTATAATAAGAGTCACAGGCATTATTATAGAACAAGTGCAGAAACTTAAGTATCTGGGCACGTGGATAACTTCCAATGGAAGATGTATCACAGAGATATAGAACAGAAAAGGACAGGCCAAAACTGCATTTTATAAAAAGAAGAAAATTTTGTGCAATAAATCCATGTCACTGGAGGTTGGGAAAAGAATTCTCGCAAGCTATATAGAGCCAGTTTTAACATACGGCTGTGAATCCTGGACAATAAATAAACAGGCTGAAAAATATCTTGAGGCCTTAAAGATGTGGTTTTACAGAACAATTCTTAGAATTTCTTGGACAGCTAAGAAGAGTAACCCAGACGTTTTGAAAGAGGCAGGTGGCTGAAGACAACATATTACAAACATCAGAAAGAGACAGTCATCATTTTTTGATCATTGTTATGAGAAGAGGGAAAATAGAACATGTTGTGACCACTGGAAAGATTTGTGGAATGAGAGACAGGAAGACAGTGTGGGAAAAGATTCTTGACAGCTTTTTGTCATGTCATGGAGGGGTGTCAACACATGAACTGATACACACAGTTGCGGATTGCAGATTGTGGAGAGGCATGATCGCCCACGCCAGTCAGTAAGGCACTTGATGATGATGACAAAACAATACACTAAGCACCAGACGTGTAGACTGCTATTTCATAAAAACATTGTTCCATTCATAAATCAATGAATAACTTGCCTGTGTAAATATGACCAAAGGATATCCAAAGTTATCCTGCTGCAAGCAAGTATCTTCTTTCTGCTTTAATGTCACCTCATCTTTGTGATCTGCCAACTTTGACTTGTGCCCAACTTTACTCAGTGCAGCAGAAAGTTTGTTTTTAAACAGTTTTGATCTTGTCTCCTTCGAATGTGGAGAGTTAGGTGGGGATTCATTCTTTGCACTTGTCATGACTAGGGTTTTATGTTTGTACTTTTCTGGCTGCGTTGAACTTGCGGCTGTACTGTCTGAGGAAACTGACTCCTTGTCACTGATGGCTTCAGAATCACGGCTAGCACTTGTTGAAGAGACAAGGTCGATGACTTCAGTATCATCATGCTCATGGTCAATGCTCAGCTGCAGGTGATCCTGCTCCCATGAGAAGCAGTCTTCTTTGTCGATCTTGCTAATACTTTCTGGAGAGTCCAGATCTTCAATAATTTCATCTGAATTCAGCCTGTGTATTGTGGTGTGAAGTATGAGACTTCCATGGTGATTGATGTAACTGCTTCCAACAGCAGTCCCTTCTTGAAGTTTTGCATCTAAGTCTAAATCATCAGAAGTTTTCTCACTTTGAAAAAAAATTTTATCAGCATGGTCTGGGGAGCTATTTTCACATGAATGATTTTTATCTTCCACGTAGTTATAGGCCTTTGTATCAAGCAGAGAAAGTTTTTTATTTCTGGGAACTGAATGGACCGTTAGCTTGTCACTTTCATCTGCATTACTGCTTTCAGTCCTAGTTTTCTGGTAATGTAATGATTTATCATTTGGAATATTAGTTAACTGTTCCTTATTTCCAATTTCAGGGCATTCACTCCATGGCCCATTGCCATTACTTTCTGGAGCAAATGTGACTAACTCATCTCTGGGTATGGAAGGCGACTCTGGTGGTTCTTTAGTGTTAATACAACTCTTGGCTGTCTCCTCATAATTTATGTTTACAGAAGTGTAGTCATTATAATTATCGGAACCAGTTTCATGACTAAGATCAGAATTATGCATGTGACACAAGACCTCAGAGAGTGGAGAATTTTGGCTGGAGCTATGATAGCGTACTTCTAAAAACTGTTCATCTTCATCCAGGTCAGAGTTAAAGCTTGCTACTCCTAGTGTTGGTGAAAGTTTCTTTTCATTTAACTGATTGCATGCTTGCATCAAACCACTTTCCAACATACCTGAAACAATCAAGAGCAATCGATGGCCTTTAGTGAATTCTTGAACTTACAAGTAAAGCAAAGTATAAAAATGGCTTCTCAGCCTTGAGTAGCTGTTCCTCATTAGATCTTTTTAAGCAATAAATTTCAAAAATCTAGCTGATGTTTATGTGAATGTGCCAGTGCATACATTTTTGTTATAATTTCGATCATCATAATCATCCCCGTCACCAGTTTCTGTTGACTGATCAACTCTCTCCACCTTTGGCGGTCAATATTAATATGGTTGTCAGGTTTTATATTAGATGATTATGTTGACGAATCCTCTTTTAAGCACAACACCTTTTTTAATATATAAAAATGTATTCACAACTAATCACAAACATCAGAAAGAGACAGTCGTCAAATTATTTTGGTCATGTTATGAGAAGAAGGAAACTTGAACATGTTGTGACCACTGGAAAGATCTGTGATTTCTGTGAAAAAAAAGACAGAAGAAGTCAATGCGAGAAGATTATTGAGAGCCTTTTGTCAAGGCATAAAGGGGTGTCAGCACATGAACTGATACATGCTGTTCAAGATCGCGGATCACAGAGAGGCAGGATCATTTACATTAGTCGGCAAGGCACTTGATGATGATAATATTGAAAATGTATTTAAACTGCTATCATTCTGGCATGTTTCTTAAAAAAATATAATTAGGTCTGTCTTTAATTACTAATGATATAACCTATTAGTTCTTTCCATAAGTATAGAACGTTTAAAAAAAACATCTGCTTTTAACAGCTAACTAAAATTCAGCAATCATGTGTTGAAATCATAATCTTCTTTCTTCTTCGCGTTCACCAGCTGTACACTCTGGCGGGAAGTTCTGGTTGCTCGTCCACTACTGAACTGCAGTCCTGCTCCAGAACCTGAGTGTTGCGTGTGCATCAGTTTTACAGATCTCATTCTCTTGAATACAGACTGGCAGATGCACTCGGACTTCAAAGGAAGCTCCCCAATTAGTCGACTCTTATGACATGCTTTTGGGGAGGCAGTGGGTCTATTCTTGTTTTCCCCTACAATGGGGCCCCGGAACCCACACGGGGGGGGGGGGGGGGGATCATAATAACAATTATTCCTGTCCCTCACACATTACGATAAACATTAATTTCCTTATTCGGATGTACTCACCTTTGGAGTGTCATCCATTAATTTACATCAATTAATTTATCAGGTCCATCACTCTAAAGGCTGATGCTAACTAATCTCAACTCCTCTACTAATTCTTTCAGTACCAGAGAAGGTAAAATTAGTTATAAATCAACAGAGGATGTGTTCCTTGGTACCGTTTGTTCAGGCTCACCAGCTGTAAACTCCGACAGTATTTGTCCACCTCTGAACTTTAGTCTGGTTCCAGAACCTGTGTTGCTTGCACATCCGTTTTACAGATCTGACTGATGTGTATACAGACTGTTGGTTCCTTGTCTCTTGGGCAGATGCAGCCTTTTTCTAGAACCAAGTATTGCGTGCACATCCGTTTTACAGATCTGCTTCATATGTATGCAGACTGTTGGTCACTTGCCTCAGGCAGATACACTCCGATTTTGAAGGAAGCTCCCAATTAATCGACTCTTACAATATGCTTTTGGGTAGGCAATGGGTCTATGCATGTTTTCTCTACAACAAGGCTCCAGAACCCACAAGGAGATTCCCTGGTAATTAAAAAGTCCATTTATCAGCTCAATCAGTACAGACACTGGTGTGGACTCATCCTAACCGATCTATCAACTATTTTTGTACAAGAGGACATAAATAAGTTTTAAATCAACACATTTGTGTTCCTGGGTTACTGAAAAAGATAAATTAGTTTGAACTCTTGGAGTCGACTCATCTCATCTACATAGTCTGGCAATTAAATAATGAGACTGATTTTATTTCGGCTAAGACAAAAATTTTCAGCCAATAAGCAAAGCATGTCATCCAAACAGGTACCATTAACCACTGGGGTTATCAAGTGAAAATACCCATTCTTGTATTTACCTTTTGTGTTAGCCCTTAAAAGAGGACAGATGGCATGTTGTTTTGTAGGCTTACAGTTAGGCTGTGACGTTTGCACCTTTTGGCCCAACAGGTCCAATTTTAGCAAACCCTTAATGCGTACAATATGTCTGTTAACTCTTTTAGTCCCAAGAGGTTTAGCATCAGAGGCCCATGGGATAGTGTTTAGTGATTAGAAAGGATTATCGTTACAGCACTCCGGACAGATCCCTAAGTGCTCCGATATCCTCCTCAAAAGCTCCACAAGCGTAAAACGACTGATGACGCCTGTTCTGTGTTGGTTAATGAAACGTCTTGTCCTCTTAGTGAAATGATCATTTCTTGCAGCTCCAGGCTGCACCCCCATGTCCATCAGTCTAGACAGGGATACGGAGTCATGTCCTTTGGCGTGCTCCTAGGTATGGTAAGTGCAGCGCATGGCACTGATAAAATCACTTCTGTCCAGTACTGGGCCAGCCATAGCAACTGCAGTGTCAGCAAGATAGTCTGCACACTCGTTTCCTTGAACACCCGCATAACCTGGCACAAAGATGAAGGTTAGGGCAGATATTTGTGAAGTGCTTAGTGTTTCAATCCATTCTTGCCTGATAAATCCAGCTTGGATTTTTTTAAGCATATTCATCAAGTCACTAAGAAAGCATATGTGTGTGAACTTTTGAGTACCAAACCATCCTAAAGCCCTTGTTACAGCCATAGTTTCCATTGTAGGGATACTAGTTGTAACAGCAAAGGCGCCATTCATCTCCTTGATGGTTTTCCCCTTTGTGCTTACTGTGAAAGCCCATGCACTTTGCTTGCCCCTAATTACTGACTTATCTGTGTAAACTATAGCATCACCTTCATCTGTGTTTTCATCAATCAGCGTTCTGACTAATGTGTCAACAATGCCAGGCATCTGCTCTCTACATATTCCATCAAGTGTGATATGGACTGTAATATTAATGTTTGGAGAGGGAGGCATAATTATCCATTAATTTCCTAAATTAATGTCATTAAGGCGGCAAACATGTTCAATGGCATCCTCAGCCTGACCCATCCAGGATTTGCCTCGTTTGAGTCTACTCTACCAAGGGATAGTAAAGAAAGATGTAAAACCAGCTCATCTTGCGTTCACAGGGCTTCTAGAGAGGAACCTGTGAACGCATTATGCGTTTCTTGGGACTGAAAGAGTTCAGGAGCAGTGGATCCAATCTTTCTTTTCCCTCTAAAAGGGGGTTCAAAACCCACACCAGGAACCATTCTTGTATGATGGTCAACAACTGTAGGTTCTCTCTAATGTGAAGGTAGAGAAAAAACTTAAGCTTATATTTCTTTTTAACTTACTAACCTGGAAATAATGACAAAACTCCAAGAACTGTCTGGCACAGTGATTCTACCGGTGAACCAAAGAACAGAACCTGACAGAATAGCAGGAAGAAATTAATAAAATAATTACATGCCAACAAATACGCACAACACAGAGAAGAGATGAGGATGAGAGATACAGAGATAGACCTGAAACTGACAGAATGGGTCAGAGAGAGACTGACAGAGAAAAAACACAGAATAGTAAGAATTACAAATAAATGACAAATAATAATTAGCCAAATATGCTGATCATTTCCTGAATGTAATGAGTACATCTGAGATCCAAGAAAAAATTTTTAACATAATATTCAGTTCAGATAACTCTGCCTAATATTCTTCTTCTTCTTCTTCTTCTTCTTTGCGTTCACCAGCTGTAAACTCCAGTGGAAAGTTCTGGTTGTTCATCCACGTCTGGACATTAGTCCTGTTCCAGAATCTGAGTGTTGTGTGTGTATCTGTTTGACAGATCTGACGCATTTGTGTGTAGACTGTTGATTCCTTGCCTCTCAGGCAGATGCACTCTGACTTCGAAGGAACCTCCTAATTAGTCGACTTTTACGATATGCTTTTGGGTAGGCAGTGGGTCTATTCTTGGTTTCCCTATAATAGGGCCCCGGAACCCACACAGGGGGCATGCCTAATATTCAAACACTAGGTGTTAGCACATGAAAGATTATCAGTTGGAGATTGCAAAATGTGGAGAAGAACGATTTCCAATGCCAGGCACATGATTATGATGATGATGTAGAAATAACAACAGCAGTTATGTAATGCAAGGCTACTGCTGCTCAAGCAGGCTGCTCAAGCAGACAACACAGGCTACTGCTGCTCTAGCAGACAACACAGGCTACTGCTGCTCAAGTAGACAACACAGGCTACTGCTGCTCTAGCAGACAACACAGGCTACTGCTGCTCTAGCAGACAACACAGGCTACTGCTGCTCTAGCAGACAACACAGGCTACTGCTGCTCAAGTAGACAACACAGGCTACTGCTGCTCTAGCAGACAACACAGGCTACTGCTGCTCTAGCAGACAACACAGGCTACTGCTGCTCTAGCAGACAACACAAGCTACTGCTGCTCAAGTAGACAACACAGGCTACTGCTGCTCAAGTAGACAACACAGGCTACTGCTGCTCTAGCAGACAACACAGGCTACTGCTGCTCAAGTAGACAACACAGGCTACTGCTGCTCAAGTAGACAACACAGGCTACTGCTGCTCAAGTAGACAACACAGGCTACTGCTGCTCTAGCAGACAACACAGGCTACTGCTGCTCTAGCAGACAACACAGGCTACTGCTGCTCTAGCAGACAACACAGGCTACTGCTGCTCTAGCAGACAACACAGGTTACTGCTGCTCTAGCAGACAACACGGGCTACTGCTGCTCTAGCAGACAACACAGGCTACTGCTGCTCAAGTAGACAACACAGGCTACTGCTGCTCAAGTAGACAACACAGGCTACTGCTGCTCAAGTAGACAACACAGGCTACTGCTGCTCTAGCAGACAACACAAGCTACTGCTGCTCAAGCAGACAACACAGGCTACTGATGCTCAAGTAGACAACACAGGCTACTGCTGCTCAAGCAGACAACACAGGCTACTGCTGCTCAAGCAGACAACACAGGCTACTCTAAGGCCAAACAGAAGTTGGTTTCTCTCCCCCTTGTGGGTTCCGGGGCCCCACTGTGGGGAAAACAAGAACAGACCCACTCCCCACCCAAAAGGATGTCATAAGAGTTGACTAACTTGGAGCTTCTTTCAAAGTCGGAGTGCATCTGCCTGAGAGGCAAAGAACCAAAAATCTGCATACAAATGGGTCAGATCTGTAAAACGGATGTGCACATAATGCTCAGGTTCTGGAATATGACTTGAGTATAAAAGGGGATGAACAACCAGAACTTTCCACCAAAGTTTACAGCCAGTAAACCCGAAGAAAAAGTTTTCTCAATGGCTGGTTAGAATCACCAAAAGCATATTTTATTTCAAACATTAGACAGGAAACAAAAATAATCACCCGTCTTTCAAGCAGGAGAAGTTTAAACAAGATGATAATTTTGTGTTTGTACAAAGCCACCAGCTCTCGAACAGGAAGACCTGTAGGAAAAGAATCAAGTTGTCATTTGACTGTGTGGCAATCTTCAGATCAATGAAATATGTGAACAAACAGAATTAGCAGGACAACAAGGCAAAATAAGGCTGATGCCTCTAAATGTCTCATGGTGTGTCTGCTTATTATCCCTGCTTCACATTCATACAACAGTATAGGTTCTTTCTTTCTTTATATTAATTAGTTATGAATTCCTGCAGTCTTTGTTCATCCTTTTAGACTTTCTTTGTAACAGGACCTGAGTTTTGCGTGTACATCAACTTTACTGGTTTATTTGTGTGCAGTTCATGTTCCCTTTCTCTCAGGCAGGTGAACTCCGACTTCAAAGAAAGATGACGATTCTATCTCAAGGATGACTGTGGCTATTGTTTTTTGGGACAGGATGTCGCCTAATTTGTGTGGTGTCCTCTCTATCGCTTTATCTACAGGTATTGCCCCTGGAGAACCCATATAGAACAACCGTGTGTGGACTGGTCAACCCTCAAGGGAAGGCAGGAGCAGATCATGGGCCTTTCCTGCCATCTAAGGAGACTTCCATAAATGCAGAAAGCAACACATGATGCTCTGGTCCTGGGCTCACCCAAGGAATTGTAACATCCTTGGATGTAGAATATCCATTACTTTGTTGATATCACAAACAATTCACTGGGGCATCAACTATGACCTTTTGGGTTGGAAAGAGTTAAAAACATTCACATTTTCACGGATGTTACATTAAAGACGTCCATAATGTTGTTTTTGCTTTAAAACAAATACCAAATAAAATTATTTTGGCATCTTATGAAAATAAAGCGCAATCAACTTCCACACTGTGCCTAGAATAATAGAAGCTCTGGTGACAGAAGTACAAAAGATGAGGATACAGTCATATTTTAGCAAGTAATTACTAGAACAACTCAATGTATTTCAAGGAACTAATTTGGCTCCTTTTAAAATACTTATGATTTCTTGTGTATGTCTTTCATCCACCAATGGGGCACAGGCTTCCAACACATGTCAAGTCCTCCTTTCTTCAGTCTTGCCAATGACTAGCTGGATTTTGCAGCTAAAGTTTCTACAAGATGAGGTATCTAGCCCCTCAACCCCCCTCAACCAAATCTTCTGTCACACATAAACTCACCATTTACACTAACTGTTAAATGTCTTTCTATTTAGCATTCACTGGCTGTAAACTACAGTGGAAAGTTCTGGTTGTTCATCTACTTCTAGACCCAGGAAGTTTTTGTTTCAGAATTGGAGTTTTGCTAAATCTTGCTTACTTATATGCAAACTATTGGTTCCTCACCTCTAAGGCAAATACACTCTGACTTCAAAGAAAAAACCCTTTATTAGTCCCTTTTTATGACATCCTTGTTAAGGGAAAGTGGGCTTATTCTTTTCACCCCAAAACGAGGTCTCAGAAACCGCATGGGTCGTAAACTTTATCAAAATAAATTACTGATTTCCCTGTGTAGGTTCCGGGGCCCTGTTTTAGTGAAAACAAGAACAAACCCATTGCCTACCCAAAAGCATGTCGTAAGAGTCAACTAATTGGGAGCTTCTTTCGAAGTTGTAGTGCATCTGCCTGAGAGGCAAGGAACCAGCAGTCTGCACACAAATGAGTCAGATCTGTAAAACTGATGCACATGCAACACTTAGGATCTGGAACAGGACTGCAGTCCAGAAGTGGATGAACAACCAGAACTTTCCGCCAGAGTTTACAGCTGGTGAACGTGAAGAAGAACAAAGAAGAATTACTGATATGGGGTAGGTAAAAGGTAAATTTAAAAAATTGTGTATTTTAAAAAAATGTGTTGCAGGTACTCACCAAGAAATACTTGTGTGCCCTCAAGAAGACTCTGGGTGAGTGAAGAATTCAGATTGTTTAAAGTTTGTTCAAGCAGGGTAACCTGGCTAAAGTCACGCTCATCAAAGTAGGCATGAGTTATCAACTCCAACTTGGCCTTAATGAGCCCAAACAGTGGCTGAAAATGTGTCAGATAAACAAACGTATTTACAAACTGTATGTTCAGTTTTGCTACCAATCAAAAAAAGATCATGTAGTCTCTATGGTGTTTATATGTAAAGTAATTAAGGTTGAGTTCATGCCTGCACAAACATTCAGAAGGTCAGAATATTAATACATTAACTAACAACAGACATAAGGGCTAAAGAGCTTTTCTAAAGCCAAGCTGATGACAGATTTTCTTGTGAGCCTCCGTGATAGAGTTCAAGAGGTCAGAGCATGTGTCACCCGAAAGATATGTTTGGTTATCTTTTTAGGTCTCAGGAAAGCTTTCCATTTAATGCTTACCATGTTCCCTGTGTGGGTTCCAGATCCCCAATGTGGAGAAAACAAGAACAGACCCACTGCCTCCCCAACAAGCATGTCGCAGGAGTCGACTAATTGGGGCCTTCTTCGAAGTCGGAGTGCATCTGTCCGAGTGACAAGGAACAACCAACTGCACACAAATAAGCCAGTAAAATGGATGCAGATGCAAATCTAAGGCCCTGGTACAAAGCCAAAGTCCAAATGGATGAACAACCAGGACTTTCTGTAAGAGCTTACAACTGGTGAACAAAGAAGAAGAAGAAGAAGCTTACCATGTTTTTGTCTACTGATTACTCCTATCATATATCTTTATACATTCCCAAAAATTATTTTAAAATGTAGATAAATACATTTTTTACAAATTTATTAGTGATAGTAAAAAAAAAATGGTTGTTTTTACGGAATTTAAAAGGAATTCTAATGGAGTCATGACCTATTTTTTAGTTTTCCCAGGGCGCAAGGGTAAAGAGAAAAGATGTTGGACAATGCAGTCACAACAGTGCAAAATATGCTGTCCTTTTGATGATTATTTTTCTGGCAAAACTGTCCATTACAAATTTCACAAAGCTATTAAACCAGCATTGCTGTATTGGCCAGTGCCCGACAAGCCTAATTAATGGCATTGGTTCTGTCTGCTTGTGCATGTGTTCAGAATTCCCATAATAGCTTTTTCTCTCCAAGGATTTCCAAGGTGAGAAGGTAACACGTGCTTAATCTTTTAAAAGTTGGTACTGAATGAATTAATAATAAAAGGAACAATATTTTTTTTAATTAATACATACTCTTTGAAATGAATAGTTTTAGTCCTTACCAATCGGCTCAGTACACATACACTTTTCTGAACTGTACTCCTGGTAACATCAGCTGTTCTATTTATCAAATCCTGTCAGATAAACCAAAATATTAGACATTAAAACAGTCAGAATGTATAATTTTACTACTCAAATATATCAACAATCCTTACCCCCAAGAATGGATACATGTTTATACTGATGGATCAGCATTTAAAGCTACCATTAAAGCAGGTTACGGAATCTACATAGGTTATCCCGATGGATCTGTTGAAGAGATTTTTAATGCATGCGGGGAATTATGTTCAAATTATGAAGTTGAAATAACTGCACTGGAAACAGCAGTATACCACCTACAGACTGTAATGGATGTTTACCCTTCAAAGGTCCAAAATATTGTCATCTTCACAGATTCAATGTCTGCTCTTCAAGTTCTGGAGGGCAGTGAACCCTGCAGAACTGACATAGCCAAGATAATCCTGGATGCTGATCAGCTTATTACCTCATACAACATCAGAATAGTGATGCAGTGGATTCCAGGTCACTCCGGCACACCAGGTAATGACAGAGCTGACAGATTGGCAAAGAAAGGAGCAACACAAGAACCCACCTACAGGGACAACCCTCCAGACAGCAAAAACACTGATAAGAGCTATAAACAAAGAGACTTGGTCAACAGATGGGCCATGGGAGACACTGGAAGAGAGGTTTATAGACATATGTCTGGCCCTGATCCTAATGACAGCATTAACCATCTAACAAGAAGGGACCAGGCCACCATCTTCCGGCTTAGAACGCAACATACTCCACTCAATGGACACCTAAACAGAATACAGCCACAACACTCCCCAGAGTGCCAGCTATGTAACTACCCCTACGAAACTGTTGAACACCATCTCTTTGAGTGCCCAAAACTCAGTGAGACAAGAAGAATGCTACTCCCTCCGAGACCAGACAAGTGGAACACCTTGTACGGAGGAAAAGAACAGCTTGTGAAAACATGCAAATTCCACTACATGGCATTGGGCCAAAGGGCGAAAGCTCATGCGCCGCTGGATCGATAACAACAACAACAACAACAACATATCAACAATCAGATCAGCATTCCCTGTGGGTTCTGTGGACCAATTCTGGGAAGTAAAAGAGAACAGAGCCACTGCCCCTCTAACAAGCATGTGATAAAAGGCAAATAGTTAGGGGTTTGCTGAAACTATATGTGTTGGGCTGAAAGGCACAGATATATACTGATAGAGTGTTCAAGTAAACATATACAGACAGAATGTAAGTAAACCTTTACTGACAGTGTTTCAAGCAAAAATATATTGACAGTGTCCCAAGTAAACATACACTGATAGAGTGTTACAAGTAAACATATAATGAATGAGTGTTACATGTAAACATTAACTGACAGTGATAAAAGTAAACAGTTACTAAGTGATAAAAGTTAACATTTACTGACAGTTTTGCTGGGGAATGTGTTTCTTTGGAACAAGTACAGCAATTTAAGTTTCTGGGCACATGGATAACATCAGATGGAAGATGCATAACTGAGATAAGAAACAGAATAGGACAGTTTTCATAAAATTAAGAACATCTTGTGCAATATGTCCTTGTCATTGAGAGTTAGAAAAAGAATTCTGGCTTGCTACATACATCCAGTTTCAACATAGGGCTGTGAATCCTGGACAATCGGTAGGCAGGCCAAAAAATGTCTTGAGGCCTCCGAGATGTGGTTTTACAGAAGAATGCTTAGAATACCTTGGACAGCCAAAAAGAGCAACCAAGAGGTTTTGAAAGAGGCGGGAGCCCGAAGACAACTTGTCACAGACATCAGAAGGAGACTGTCATCATTTTTCGACCATGTTATGAGAAGAGCGAAAATAGAACATTTTGTGACCACTGGAAAGATCTGTGGAAGGAGGGATAGAGGAAGACAACGAGAGAAGATTCTTGACAGTCTAGTTGCATGGCATGGATGTGTGTCAGCACACGAACTAATACATGCTGCAGGAGATCGCAGATTGCGGAGAGGCATGATCGCCCAGGCCAGTTGGCAAGGCACCTGATGATGATGATGTTGCTGGGGATTTATTTCTGTCGGGGCAAGATATATATCCAGACAGAATATTACAAGTAAACATATTCTGACAGAGTGTTGCAAGGAAACATATTCTGAAAGAGTTCCCTGTGTGGGTTCCGGTGCCCCATTTGACGGAAAACAAGAATAGACTCACTGCCTCACCAAGCATGTCATAAGAGTCGACTAACTGGGAGCTTCCTTTGAAATTGGAATGCATTTGCCCAAGAGGCAAGGAACCAAAAGTCTGTATATGCATCAGTCAGATATGTAAAATGGATGTGCACGCAACACTCAGGTTCTGGAACCAGACTAAAGTTCAAAGGTGGACAAAGACCCAGAACTTTTCGCTAGAGTTTACAGCTTGTGAAAGCAAAGAAGAAGAAGACCGAAAGAGTGTTACAAGAAAACATATACTAATAGTGTTGCAAGTAAACATACAGACAGAGTGTTACAAGCAAACATTTACTGGCAGTGTTCAAGCAAAACAAAAAACAAACATATACTGAAAGAGTGTTACAAATAAATAACTATTGATACAGTGATACAAGTAAACATTTAATGACAGTGTTACAAGAAAACATAAACAGACATTATGTTACAAGTAAACATTTACTGACAGTGTCACAAGTACATATTTAGTGACAGAATGTTTCAAGTACACAATTAGTGATAGAGTGTTACAAGTAAACATTTAATGATCCAGTATTACAAGTTAACATTTACTGATAGACTGGACATAAACATGTCACATCAGACGCTATTTACATAAGAGAAACATCACTTACATCATGAAGGAGCTAATTCAGAACAGAATGTTTTAAGTTAAGAGTCAACTCCACCGACTGACTGACTTTTTACCCCATCTGGACATCACACAAGCGATAAACACCCGATGACACAATGTGCCACCATGTGGATGAGGATCACCATGGAGAGGTCCCAGAAACCGCGTTCAGCCATTAGGCCATATTTATGGCCTGGCTATATTGCGGCCCCTGGCAAGAGCCAGGATGGGGCTTCAAATAACGAAAAATTTCATCCTAAAAAAGGACGGCAAATAATATCATCAACTCCACTGCTCAAAGTCTTTTCTTATAATACTCAGTCTCTTTGCAGAATAGCGCACAGCAGGAGGTGTGCAGTTCCACTTGCGATCCTCAGGGACCTCTAAAAATTGTACTTGTGAACTGAATGATACAGTCCATAAAATAAGCTCATGACCTTCAGACTGTGAGGCTAAAGGCTTAACCAGTAAGCAACTTAGACCTTCTAGATTATCACAAGATATATACAAAATTCCTTACTTTTGCATCCATTTGTCTGTAACAAGATACACCATACACTGTACTGGGATTATCTTTCCTGCCAGGAAGTACAAAGTACACAGTATCTGCAAGGAAAATAATAACAGGCTGTCAAGCAATGCAAGTTGTCCAGTGAAAGGCGAGACGGATATACAACCAGACAGTTGCTGGGGTCATCAAAACTGGAACTCTTCGCTTGCAGGTGAAGATAGGGACGGAGTGCTTGTTGGTGTGTCCCGAGTGCTGTGATGTTGATTCTTACTTAAACATTCAACATATTGTCAATTTCTTTACATGCTTAACATCTTTTATCCCATAAATGCACACACACACACAAACAAACCTACACGCACACACAAATGGGTCATGAACCCGTATGAATTTCTGGAAAAAATCATTTAAAAACAACAAACATATTATGCAGGTCACTAATAAATTGTTGGTTTCATTTGTTTATCTACACCTCCAAACTTTTCTTTTAAGCATTATATGGAAAAACATTTTCCGGGGTGTAAAAAAAAATCAAAATGTACCAGGTGACTCCTGACTTGATGTCTACCACTGAGGCTTATGCAATATCTGACATCAAATTTTCTTTCAAACAGCTATTGGGGTCATAAGGAACTCACAAATGTTATTTTAGGATACTATATTAATATCTTGGGTTTTTTTAAACTGTGCAGGCACACATACAACACCGATGGAATTTAACTACACTATGAAAACAGGTCACTGCAGATATAGCCACACATAGGTATTTACTGGGACATGGCACAACTGGAAGTGCAAACAGTCTTCTTGTGGCAAAAAGGTTAACTGAAAAAGCAAAGCACTCTTTTCCTATATCAGTGGCCAGTCTGACACCATTGGGTCACTCCGAAAAAGAAACTACCATATGGCCTTTAACCTAGCACTTTTTGGAATTACATCAGTTGCAGCTGGTACATGGGCATGTGGTGAGACATGTTTTTATTGCAAAGACTGTAATTCTAGGAACATTGGAGGGTAATCGAAGAGGAGGAGGGCAAAGAAGAATCTGAAATGACAACATCAAGAAATGGACAGGACTGAGTTATCTTACACTTATTCATCAAGCAGAAGACAAAGAAAGATGGCCGGGTTTTATGTGCTAGTGCTTCCATCAATACACCTCCACGACCCTAATGGGTCAAGGGTTATGTTATGTTATGTTAAGCTGCAGCTGACATGGGAGTTCATAGAGGCAACCCACCTGATGGTCTGACCTGAGCATACGAAACCAACTGCAGAGAAGAAAGATGTGATCATCATACCTCTAAATCATTCTGGCTCTTTCTTTTTTCTCTGATAAACTTAATAATTTGTCACAGGTCAAATAAGTCTAGTTCCACACAGCTGAATAAATTGTCAGAGGTCAAATAAGTCTAGTTCCACACAGCTAAATAAATTGTCACAGGTCAAATAAGTCTAGTTCCACACAGCTAAATAAATTGTCACAAGTCAAATAAGTCTAGTTCCACACAGCTAAATAAATTGTCACAAGTCAAATAAGTCTAGTTCCACACAGCTGAATAAATGTGAAGAAAACATAAAACACACCTTTAGTGAAATTGTGGGCTCCATCAGGCAGTGCTAGTGAAGGTAGGTGTTTCCATTCCTCTGGCAGCTCATGGCTGTCAACTGAATTGCCTTCAATAAGTGGTGGATAGGAATATTCAACCTGAAAAAAAAAACAAGTTTACTTAAAATAATATGACATCTTGACAAAATGCCTGTGGACACTGAATTGAAGAATGTTGACAATGAAATACCTAAAATCTTTGGATGAAATATTATCAATCTAGCTGACTGTATTTAGTGCACTAAACCATAACTTGGTTATATCCTAATATACATTTCTGTAGGTGTGAAATTTAAGTAACAGGTACTGCACCCAAATGATTTATGATCTAGGAGAGAAGTATAACAAAGTCTCTCTCTCTCTAACACACACACACACACATATACACGCACACAATGACACTTAAAAGTGTAGTGCATCTGACCATCAGAGGTGGAGAGATCTGAGCAGGCAAACAACAGCTTTTTCTTCTTCTTATTGTTCAACGGTTGTAAACTCCAGAGGAAAGTTCTGGTTGTTTGTCCATGACTGGACTTCAATATGTTTTCCCAAACTTGAATTTTGCGTGCACATCGGTTTTATAAATCTGTTTAATGTGTATGCAGACTGTTGGTTCCTTGACTCTCAGGCAGATGCACTCCGACTTTGAGAGAAAAACCCTAATTAGTCGCCTTTTCCAATCACATTGGGACTTCAAAAGCCAGAAGTCACGTATCAACAAGCTGTGTTATGGAGTTATGATGGTGAATAGGGCTATAATATAATGATAAGGGATCAGAAACAAATAATCAAGCGAATGATGAAGATCCAGCAACATTTGATGGAAAACTTCAGAATACTCTAAATTGAATAAAGAAAAGACAGGCATCCAGACCAGACATTAATTTGCTGGAATCTAAGCCTTTTGGAATTGCCAATAATTCAACATTTTGCTCTGAGCACACTTATATTCTGCTTGTTTACAGCACAGCCGAGATTTATGTTTGATTTTTTTGGTCAACCCATCTGACATATTATAATATTTAATGACCGAGTTAGTAAGCGAACCAAAAAAGAAGAATGACCAAGTCAGCCATCCGTCTTCTTCTAATTGTTCACCTGCTGTAAACTGACAGAGAGCTCTGGTTGTTCATCCACTTCTAGACTTTAGTCTTGTCCCAGAACTTGAATTCTATGTGCACATTCGATTCTTTAATTCTGGCTTACTTGCATGCGGACTGTTGGTTCCTCAACTCTCTGGTAGATGTGCTCTGACTTTGGAGGAAGATTCATAATTAGACACCTTTTATGACATGCTTTTTAGGGATGCAGTGGGTCAATTCTCCCCCCCCCCCTTAAAATAGGGCCCCTAAACCCCCACAGGGAGGGCCTTTCCAGTTAATTTCATAGGCTATAGTATGGCTTTGGATTTGTGTTGTCATCTTAGCCTTTTATCTTTTGGTAGTACATCCAAAAGGCTTAGCCAGAACAACTGCACATACACATGTCAGTCATCAAGTGACAACAGAACATAGGCATCCTCTGCAACATGGGCATCTAAGGAGACTTCGGCTATCTTCCAAATAACGGTCCCAAATTATCAAGGCCGAAGATATACCCTAAAAGGGCCTCAGTCACGTGTCAATTGCGTATTTTCGGGGACTATACTGCCGTTGCTGAATTGCGAACTTCCGTCACCACCAAGAGTATCCACCACACCGCTCACACGGCGTGGATTAGAGCTAAACTAGATGGCTAGGACTCACAAGCAAATAAAATGAAGGCAGCTGCAGAAAATGCGGTAGCTGCTGCTCGTGAGTCCCAGTCATCTAGTTTAGCCCCAATCTACTCTTGGCAGTGGCGGAAGTCGCCGGAAGTGCGCAATTGACACGTGACTGAGGCCCTGTTAGGGTATATTTTCTGCCTCGATAATTTGGGACCATTATTCGGAATATAGCCGGAGACTTCTATGAACACGGAGACCACATCTAATGCCCTGCTGCTGGACTCAAACAACAACAAAATCCTTGCATTCTGCACATTATTATCATTTGTTAATGAAATGCAAGAGGTTTAACATGTCCTTCACACATATGTGCTTTTTATTCGTTTCAGTACTGATCCCTGATCTGTTTTTATTTTTTAGGACAATATGTCTTTTACTCACACCATCTCTGTGTGTGTGTGTTGTGTGAGCATCTGTGTGTGCATCCTCTCTCTCTCTCTATCTCATCACCTCTTCTTCTGCTATAATCGCCTGCTATTTGTCTTTGCAGTATGTGTCACAAATAGGACGATGGGTAGTTCTCCAGATCTTAGTGTCTGTAATATTTTTTCTTCGTGTATTTTTTTTTTAAAGTTATTTTATACAGCTAAGGAGTTTGGTCAAAATTTATAAATATGAGTTTTTTACTTTTTTACAACTCATATGATGACTGTCTTGTCCTTTTGTGTGTAAGCAGCATACATGGCAAGATAGCAAAGGAGTTCAATTTGTAGTTTTGCTATCAATATCGTGCTGTGATGCAGCAACAGTTACAATGTTACTAATACTATTGTTCCATAAACAAATAAACATTAACTAATTATATATTTTTGCGACAGACCTGACATCCCTTTTTGTGATGAAATCCTACAACCAGAACATGTAACACTGGTCCTTCCATGTTAATTCAATTGCTATATTTGTTACAACATGGGTACACTTTATGAGTCAAACTCCTTGTTCATATTGTATATTTTCTAAACATCCCGTAGTGCGACAGTTGCAGCCAATATCAAAACAACGTTACATCTTTTTTCAGAGACCTCCTCTTGGTTTTGTTGCTGTTTCTGGGCTACTGCCAGACTTTTCGTTTGGTTTGACGTGCAGTATTATTTTCAACAAACAAAATAGGAATCTGTAGGTCACTGCATGAGCGAATTGATTTCTGCTCCAAAACAAAAACTTTAATGGTTTATGACCAGATATAAAATATACAGGCTTTAAAAAAATAACATTTCTATATGATTTAACTTTATTTGAATTTAATTGCTTTACCGTGGGATTTAATTAAATTGGTTTTTCTTCTTCACCATTTGTTAATAATGCTAAACAGCAATAGCAGAATTTGTCTCCCTAATGTCAGTGTGTGACAGTGAAATTGTATGACTTTGTAGCTGAGTGAAGATATTATACTACTGAGAATAATAATAAGAAGAATGAAGAAGAAGAGCAAAAATAGTTCTGCTCATTTACACATTATTCTTTTAAAAGAAGGTGACGTGTAGTATTAATGCCCAACTGGCAACTGTGCAACGATTTAGAAAGGGGTGTGTAATATTTTTTTAAATGTTGAATATTGAATTAGGAATCGACATCGCAGCACTCGGGACACTCCCATAAGCGCTCCTTCCCCATCTTCAGCAGAAAGCGAAGAGTTAAAATTCCGATGGTACCAGTAACAGTCTGATTGTATATCCGTCTCGCCCCTCCTCCCAAATGTCGAGCGTCGACCAGATCCCATCGTAACTAATCGCAGTGCCATTCTCATCAGATTCTAATGATCTGTCTGTTCCTCGGCACTGTTCACTCGCTCCCAAAGGGCCCTCACAACATCCAGCTTGTCATATATCAGTTCACCACCAAGTGGTGCAGAACCTGCCAGTCTATCCGTCTGCTCATTTCCCGACACACCGGCGTAACCTTGAGAAAATATTCAAAGGATGCTAACTACCCGTGACCTCTGAAGTGATGCTTGCCACTCTTCACGGAGAATGCCTGTCTCTACCTTTCTCAGCATGCTCTGTGAATCAGTTACAGTGACGACATGTGTGTACAGCTGATTCTCAAGCCAACGGAAGGCAGCAGTGACTGCTCCACCTCCATTCTCAAACTAGAGTTTGTGAAATCATATGCTAGGCTTTGTTGCGCCAAGCGACGTCCATTCGCCTTCGCTATGAACCCCCGTGCGCTTCGTTTGCCCCTCACCACAGAGCCATCTGTATATACAATCACATCACTTGGGCGGGAATTCTCATGAATCATTTGTTGAACTTCTGATTCTGCATCACAAGCTGGCCAGTCCCTGCACTCACGTCCCACATTGATTAGAACCCTACACAAGTCTGAAACATGATCGGACACTTTGACCCACTACTCTCCTCGCCTAACTTTCAAGCCTGCACACATGTCCATCTGTGTCTTCAGCTTTCGCCATCCAAGACTTTCCTTTTTTTTTCAGTCTGTCTATCCAGGGCTTCCTGCAGAAGGTGCCTCTTGTCCGCAGCTACCCCGAGATATGACTTTGCTTGCAGAACTTTGAGCCTATCTGCAATAGTAGGCAGTGCAAGTATGTATTGCATACATACTCTCGGTGTATCTCTTGTACATCCCAGAATCACCAGAATGGCTTCATTCTGTATGCGTTCGAGTTTCATCAGCTGACTCTTTGATATGGGAAGCATGCCAAATCTACAATCTGTCACCGATAGGATCACATGCTGGAACATTGTAAACAACATTCTTTGTTCCATGTCCATTGCTACCATAATCTTGAGAGCATTGAGTCCTTTTTTAGGTATTTCACTAGCCCGGCTCTCTAGCGAAGTTTGTTAAACCTGACTTTCGCGGCGGCCGGGTGACGAACTCCTTGTGGTCCGGGTTCACTCCCGGGGGTAGGTTAAAAGCCACATTTCTCCCAGATTAACGGTACCTATAATGGAATCAATGCCGAAGGGTTGCGATATCCATAGTACCGAGCCAAAGGGTTTACAACTCATGGTTTCTGGATACGTTTAAAAAAAAAGGTATTTCACTGCAACTGCATCCACATGATCCCTGAAGGACAGGCTTCTATCGGAAATGATACCCAGGTATCTCAGTTTGCTTTCTCTTTTGATGTTACTGTTATGAACTGTGAGGTTTAAAACGCCAGCTTTTACATTTCTATTGTCCAGAGAACACCACAAAACAGCTGCCTTTTCTGGGTTGATGACAGCACCCATTTCTGCAAACCAGTCAGTCACTTTGTCAACAGTTGCTTGTAGCTCGTGAGCTATCCGTCGCCTATCTCTCCCTTGCCTATATGCAAGAACATCATTGGCAAATGTCAATATTCTTCCAACACCTGGTGATTCAAGTTCTGCAGTCTTGCTTGTATACACATTAGATAGCACTGGTGAAATTACAGAACCCTGGGGTAGTCCTTGGGCGATATTACATTGTTATCTGGTCTGGTAGTCTGGTAGTCTTAGTTTCAGCTTCATAGCAAACGGGTTGCCCCATCTTTGCTCCGCTCCTGTGCCAGCGAAAAACACTCAGAATGTCTATCACAGTCCCTTGTGGAAAGATTGACAGACTGCTGTCTCAGCATATCTAGCATACACTCGCATTAAAGCATATGGTAGCCATCCGAAGTGCTAACACAAACAGTCCAACATTAGAAATGCAGTTCATCATTGATGATAGCAGAACTTGTCGTCAACAGATCAGCAGTTGTCCGCGTGATCAATTTTAATACGGGTCCCGCAAGCATTGAACGACAGGCATCGCGCCATTTTCTGAATCTACAATTCACACCACCACATTGGTCACAGTAAAAAAAAACACATTCCAAATGCAATCCGCAGCTCACAGGGTCACGCCATGCATTCAACTCAGAAGCTGGGCGACGAAATTATATCCAGTCTACAAATGGAGCAAAAATGCATCGGACACCGTCCGACAGAAGCAAAAGATTTGCCTCTGTTCCGAACGGCGCCGCTGTCTAGCGTCCATTTTAACATTGTTATAAGGTCCATGTACCCAGGCGAAGGGCTACCATACGTGAATGCAGTACATTTGCTATCCAGTTCACAAACCACGGATAAACCCCCTTCTCCATGAGTGCAGAAATCAAAATATCATATTTGACTCTATTAAAGGCATCCTCAAGATCAAGTGCTGCCACAACCGTTTCCTGTCTGTTCTGGATCCCTCACAAACATCAAAAACAATAGTAGCTGCATTGGACCAGGTATCTTTCCGTGCCCGATAACTACCCAAACCTTTTGGCAGGAGCTTTTTCCTTTCCAAAAACATTTGTAGTTTAACAGCAATAATTTTCTCTAGCACCTTGTCAAAAGTATTTTGTAGGGTGATAATTCTGAAACCGCTGAGTTTGGAATGATCTTTGCCTGGTTTTGGAAGTGGAATAAGGTAACTGTGTATCCATTCCTGGTGTACTGAAGCTGTTCTGATGCCATATCCCTCAAGTCTTCATCACTTATGCTCTACAAGTGGGCATACCTGACTCCATCTGGCACAGGCGCAGTGTTCTTTGCTTTTTGCAATATATGTTTTACATCCTCCACCCTAATATTATCCTCAGAATACTGATCATTTTTTGTATTAAACAGATTATTCCTAACTAAAGTTCTAAGCACTCTATCATTATGATTAGTTTGGGCTATAAATCTCTATAAACAAATCTTCCCTTTTCTCTTTGTCTGTTGTCATTGGTATATCATAATCAGTGTATATAATGCCTGTTGTAATAGGCCGATCCTTCCTTTGCATCTGTCTGTGAAGTCTCCAAAACCTACCCAGTGATCTATCTCCTCCAATTTCGCTATAAAATGTCCCCATTTAGCCTTCTTTGCATCTGCTGCACATTGCTTGAAATATTCTACCTTTTCTTTTTTAAACTCTTTCTAGCCTCTCTATATCCTCTTGTAGCCTGTGAGGTGCCTTTCGTAAATTCTTAACTGCTGCTCCAAGAAGGGTACTGTCCCTCTCATACTTAAAAGTCTTGCGCGTTCTCACAGCTCTAAATTTGCTAGCTTTAGAAATCAAGACTGAGCATGGCATATGATCACTCCCATGATCGCCCAACACACTCCATTTTGCGTCCGGCACTGCTGACTGTGTAACAAAAGCCAAATCAATGGCTGTGTCTGCATCACCAGGTCTCATTGACATTCAAGTTGGCCTACCGTCATTTATACAGACTACCTCTGCATCCACCATAGCCTGCACTAAATCATTTCCTTGCCTATTTTCCCCACTACTGCCCCATGCTCTGTTCCACGCATTGAAATCCCCACAGATGAGAAGCCTATTACCAGGGATTTCCTCAAACTCTTTGAGCCAGTCCCAATGTTCCTTTGTGACAAGAGATTCAACAGCAGCGTAAACATTTATTAAATTTCAGGTTGTTACCCTATTATCTATCTGTATACCCTGAACTTCTAGTGTATTATGATTCCACCGGTCCAGGTCAAGAAACCTATGCCTCAACCCATTTTCCACCAGCAGACACTGTCCATGTCTTCTTTGTCCAGTAGGATTAATGTAACTAATGTATCCAGGACACGCATATCTATATATGTTTAATCCCTGCAGCATGATGATCTCTCTGTTGACATCTGAAGATGGTATCAAGCACAGAGCACGCACTCCGTAGATCCGGCGATGATTCTTTGTATTATTTAATATAAAATCCATAGAAAATAAACTTTCAGTGCAGGAAGTAAACGGTCACCCTAGTTTGCCTGCTTGCCAAGGCAGGGAATGTTCTGACGGAGTCCATACGCCTGGCGCCGCCCCACCCGCTAACCAGACGTCGCACGTTCACGACTGTATAACCCACTGTCATTCAGCCCATAGGCACGTAGGTCTACCGTAGAAAAAATCGAGGTTGTCTCCTCTATATTCGTTGTGTTTTGTGCCTCTTCGGTCACGCACAACAGTCTTGACTGTAGAAGGGATTTTCTGATAAAAGAACGTGCAACCTAAGTGTGCCGTTTTTACCCTATAAGTACAAGTACTCATAGTGCTATACATAGCTCTCGAGACAGAACAGCTGGTGTGCTCCACCACGAGAGAGATCTGACATCTACAGCCTTGGTTCACTGATCCTTGTGTATTTTAGTGCACAAATTAATTATGATGCAATTTTGTGGAGGTAAAAGTTAAGCTGAGTTGCGAACTGACATAATGGAAATCATTCTGATACTGAATAAAACGCATAAGCATGGTCGTGTGGCAGAAATATCACTGATCAAAATCTACTGTATTACCGTATTGGCTTATTTGTATGCAGACGGCTGGTTCCTCGCCTCCCAGGCAGATGCAGTCCGATTTTTTTTTCTTCTTATTCTCCTGCTTTCGACATCAGTAATGCTAAACATTGAGTCCCTTCTGGGTCACAAACAGGATTGTGCGTTTAAGGTCGCCACCGGTCCCCCATAGCTTCTCTCGCAATGTGGATCTCCTGGGCCAGATCCACAGTCTTTGCTGGGAGAGGTAAGGGCAGTACTGCAGTATGTGCTCAGGGGTCTGTCTTTCTGTTCCACAACAACAGGCAGCAGATTCTTTTATGCCTATCCTGTACAGGTGTGCCCGAAGACCACAGTGTCCAGTTCAAGGTCTAAAAATTGATGTTTGTTCTTTCCTGTTGAGTTTGTTTATGCTGTCACTCTCTGGTCTATAATCTCCATTCTGCCTTCTCCACTCGCGCTTGAAAGACTGCTTTAGCGCTGTTTTGATTTCCTTGTAGCTGTGTGGTGGATGAGGTTGTGGAAGATTACTCCCAGCATTTGCCAACTCATCTGCTCTCTCATTTCCTTGAATACCACAGTGGGCTAGTATCCACTGCAAGACCAGTTCTGCCTCCCTGGAGAGTAAGCCAATGTTGGTCTTTAGATAGTCCGACTTTGAAGATATGCGATATCAGTAACAACTTTGAAAGAACGAAGAGAACATCTTACACATCACAGCGCATTACAAAGTGAAAACACCACCCACTCCCCCACTAATCAACTATAACAAGTAGAGAAAGAGAAGAAGAAACAGCAGAAGAAGCTCTCAAAGTAGCGCCAAACAGATTTTCATAGATACAAACAATTGTAAAGGAAACGTTAATCGAAGTGAAGGCGGTTGATGTGATGTAGATCCCAAATTGAGTGCATACCTGACAACAATAATATCATCTAGCAGCATATGAGTAGTAGTGTTTTTAAAAAAAATATATTGTTCAGCGCTAAGGTTATAATTTTGATATAACCACCAGTATCATGAAAGGGGTCCTTATGTTATTTGCGTTGCCAAATTTTAGTTTCCTCCACTGTTCTCAAAATGTTACACATTGTTGCATGTAATAATTATGGCATATTATAATATTGAATATACTGAACAACCCACACACCCCCCCCCCCCCAATTAATGTAGAAATTGTCCCATAACCTTTTCGATGTATGCTAGGTACATGTTTTTAAATGACCAACCTGTTAAGTTTATGAATGTAACCATACATTTAGATTAAATAGTTCCACATATTTAGCTAGATTCTAAGAAAGTATATGCATTTCATTCAATTCTATGCAATTAAAATAAGTTTGCTAAAGAAATTAATTGCAAAATTAATATTAATAATAAAATTAGTGCAATCAATTTTAGGCGTCGTTATTCTGCTTAATGACCAATTAGTGATGACTCGGTTCGGGACTATACTCTTGCAGCTACTTCCTTCCTTTTACTAACCGACTAACGTGGTAGTAGGTTGTAGGTGGACATTCTCTACCCACAATCATGGCAAGTACCCTTTATTTACATTTAGTCGGTATATTTTGTGCCATAACTTAATTACATCTACTAATGCCGCGTAGAACGTGTATATATTGGATCAGGAGATTTCTGCAGTTACTTTTGTACAAAAGGGCATACACTCGATAATTTGTCGCCTGATCCGGTTTTGCGCCCCCAACCACGTTGCCATAGCGTGCACAATCACAAGCGTAAAAATATAGTAATATAATATATACTTTACGTTAAATTGTTATTTACACATATTTACATTAGTTTTGAAACATTTTAAAAAGTGGAATATGAATGTCGCAAGTAAATTTTCTCGTCATTGTCTTTGAGTTTTTTTTGGCTCTTTGCACATTGGGCATTCCCATGCGTGCTCAGTCTTATGTCATGGTGATGGTCACTATTCATTATTGTAACTGAAAGTTGACCGCATAGTTCCTATTTTTTTTTTGGGGGGGGGGGGGGGGGTTCTATTTATTGGTGCTTTTTGCACATTACAGTATGCCTATTCATTTGTATTTTTAATAAAGATGTATCAGCCTTTTTTGTAGATTTTTTAAAACGAATTTAAGCAGGTTGCTGAAAGAGTAAAGAACACCAAGCTCCAGCGGGAGACGCAAGGGGGGGGGGGGGGGGGGGTCAATACCTCAGTAAGGTTTCGTCAGTCTATTCGAACCTAAACCCTGAGGCTGTTTTTTCCTCTTTTTTTAAATTATGGAATAGTGAAAGTGATTTCAAATGTTTTTTTATGAGCTGTTGAACAATCGCTTTTTAAAACTTGATTTGCACGTATTAGCCTTAAATATAAATATTCCTTTCTTTTTGTCAACAGGCAGCGAGGCCGCTTATTACCGTTCACAATGAAAAAGGTGAAACCACCACCACAAACATTACCCTGCCTGCTGTTTTCAAGGCACCTATTCGACCAGACATTGTCAATGTCGTCCACTTCCAGATGCTGAAGAATACTCGTCACCCATATGCAGTTTCTGATAAAGCTGGTATGTGGAAAATTAGAAAACTATATGTTATTTCATTGTCAATGTTGAAAGTATTTGTAACCTAAAATGTGCCACACTCTTTTACACATTGCCAATATTAAATTCACAATTTTCGTTGTCTTGCTTAGAACAAATTGCATTAGTTTAGTTTTTTCCAAACACTTCTACATTATACAATGTGTGCGGTATAGAATTGAGCATTGCCAACACAATCACAGCAGTATGTGATGACACTAAGGTCCGTGTTACAGAATGTTTATGAAGACACACAAACCTTTCTGATATTGCTGTATTTTTTTTTTTAAACCCTTGCCTAATTAAAAAATTGTCTTCGCATAGTGGAATGCATTTTAGGAATACATTTTGAAAAGATACTTTCTGTGTGATTGCTTAACTGCTGCAGCCCAGAAGAAGCTAGCACTGAATATTAAAAAATCTGCCACACGTTCTTGGCAATCTACATTATTTTAATAATTTATATTTAAAAAGATTTTTTTACTCATGAAATTTTAATTCATTTTTTTTTCTTAACACAATTTTTCTTTCCTAACAACTTTTTAAAAAGTGCATTATTTTGACAAGGGCATATCTGAACCATTGCATAAATAGATAACTAGTGTTTTTAAACTTAGAGCATCCAGTGTTTAGTTAAAAAATACTTGTCTCTGCTTTCAAATTAATTTGATCACAGCAGTATATGATGACACATAGGTCCGTGTTACAGAATATTAATGATGATACAAACCTTTCTGACATTGCTGTTGAACTCTTAATTTAAGGTGATCTATTTTAAAGGCTATGCATGAGTCATTAATTAGTAACCTCTGCCATTGAAGTCTGTTTAAAATCAGTCAGTGCTATTAGGTAAAGTGTTTGTTCTGCCCATCAGTCATAAGCAACCATTTAGCCTGAACATATTAAGTGAAAGTATTTTTTTTTTCAGATCTAGCCTGTCGGTACCAGTATAATTTTGATTGGACTGTTAGTGCCTATTATTCCCCTGATCTCAAAGAATGTTAGATTCCTGCTTGTTCTCAAGAATGTATCCTAAGGCATTTTTGTGTGGATATAATTATTCAGTCTATATTATTTACTGCTCTTGTTCCTTTTAAAAATATAGTAATAACTAGATGCTATGCTTCAGAATGTTAATACTTTTAGATTTCTTTTTTTTTAACTTAAAATTTGATACCTACTTTTGATCTTCCTGCTTGTTTACAGGACACCAGACATCAGCTGAGTCTTGGGGAACTGGCCGAGCTGTTGCTCGTATTCCCCGTGTGAGGGGTGGAGGTACCCACAGGTCTGGCCAGGGTGCTTTTGGCAACATGTGCCGTGGTGGTCGCATGTTTGCCCCTACCAAGACCTGGAGACGCTGGCACAGAAAGATCAATGTCAATCAGCGCAGATATGCTATTACATCTGCCATTGCCGCAACTGGTGTCCCAGCACTAGTCATGTCCAAAGGTAATATTTCAAGCTTTTTTTTTTGACCTGTGATGTGGATCAGTATAAATAACTTATTAAAGAGGAGCCCAGTTTGAGCACTATATATATCTGCTCTTAATTTACATAAAACATCCTTGGGTAACAGGAAACAAATCTTTCTCCTTTGCCTTTTTTTAAGGACTGACTGGCTGCTCAAAAGGACAAAATAAATGCTTACAACCAGTCGTAGAGCTAAATTGTAATAAAGAACTTTGAATCGTTTCCCGAAATGGCGGCTTTAATATGATGGCGTTCAAAAGAGCTAAATTGGCCAATTTCTGGCCATAAAATATCTAAAAATATCCAAATGCGGGTCAGTTCTATTAAAAATATATGTGCCGGCTCCGAATAACGACACAAATGCCCTGACAGGGTCTCGGGCGATACGTTGCTTGCCGACCTGCTTCTGCGAGTGTGCCTCACCGCCGAGCGTATCCCCCGCTACGTGTGGCACGGATGGGGGCTAAACTAGATGGCTGGGACTCAGGAGCGGCAGCTCCTGCAACTTCCTCCAATTACTGTACTCGTGAGCCCCAGGCACCTAGCGGAGGGGATACGCTCGGCGATGAGTTTAATCGCGTTTGGCGCATGCCGACAAGTCTGACATGTCCCGAAATTGGTCAACGGTCACTAGTGTCGTCTCCAAATCGGAAGAACAAAGTATCGCTAGTCTGCTTTTATCGTCTGTAATGTCCCGAAATTGGTCAACGGTCGCTAGTATCGTCTGCAGAAACGCTCGAAATTAAGTCAGTATTTATCGTCTGCTACTACTACTGTGTGCAAATGTTTGATTGTCAAGTAATCCTAGTTTTGCTGTGATTTGTTCCTTGGTAGATTCCGTATTTTAGATATACGCGAACACCGTCGTTGGGATATTTTATGGCCACCATTTTGGGGAATGATTCAAAGGAGTGCTGAACTTTGGATTAATTATATTAAATATTTATCTTTCATTAGGTCATCGCATCGAAGAGATCCCAGAAGTTCCTCTGGTTGTTAGTGACAAAGTGGAAGAACTGAAGAAAACTAAAGAAGCTGTTGCTGTTCTAAAAAAGCTGAAAGCTTGGTCTGATATTGAGAAGGTATGTAATGATTTTATTGTGTAATCTGGTGGCAGGCTTTTCTTTGTTATTATAAAATTATGGATGGCTGAATAATGTGGGGCTTCTTCTCTTCCTTAACAATTCTGATTTTAGGAATAGTCAGGTAATACAAATTTTATGTCAGATGCATCCACATGCTAACACTTCAAACTTATAATTCTTTAGGATAGTGGAAATTTAGTCTTCTGTTTATTTATGGCATTAAGTGATGACAACAAGGTCCGTGTTACAGATTACCATTGATGATTATAACCTTCTGATATTGCCATTTTACATTTATAGTACACAGTGAATGTAATCAACATGAATACATGTTAAAATGTTAATGATTTATAATTTATTTTTAGGTTTACAACAGCAAACGTTTCAGAGCAGGAAAGGGTAAGATGAGAAACAGACGTCGCATCCAACGCCGTGGTCCTCTTGTGATTTACAATAAAGACAATGGCATCACTCGTGCATTCAGGAATATCCCAGGTATGGTGTCAGTGGCAAATGTAATGATACTCTACACGTACCCAACTTATCAGTTATTTACTATTACACACAGCATAAAGGACATGTTGCTGGTAATTCCCCCTTTGCTAGTCTTAAAACTATCTTGCTCCATGCTTAGTTTCAGTGCAGAAAAGGCTTTTTATTGTTACCTTCCGGGCATTGGGCCAGAGTCAACAAGACAGTGAAGTGCCTGTAATCAGTGAAGGTTACACTATAATTCCAGGTTTAATCCCAGCTAGCCCTAATGAGCTGAGTTGATTCATGACCTGGGTACATGTCAACTGTAATCCCCTAGTCATTGCATTCTACTCATTTCTTGCCTGGTATATTTAGCACTTTATATTTTTGTTATATAAACGTATATTATTTTATACAATTTTACATTTCTGCATCTTGTTACACTTAACATATTTTGTCCCTGTAGTTTTGTGTGTTAAGAATTGTCTTTTTACCTTTCTCATGTTCCTAAATATGGCAGTTGTCAGTTTACCTTTCTCATGTTCCTAAATATGGCAGTTGTCAGTTTACCTTTCTCATGTTCCTAAATAAAGCAGTTGTCAGTTTACCTTTCTCAGGTTCCTAAATAAAGCAGTTGTCAGTTTACCTTTCTCATGTTCCTAAATAAAGCAGTTGTCAGTTTACCTTTCTCAGGTTCCTAAATATGGCAGTTGTCAGTTAATTTTAAGTGATTTCCAAGATTCTCTTTGTTATAGATTAATTAGTTCAGGCATTTAGCAGAAATTGAAAACTAGGTATTCACATGAATATAAACTTGTTGATATCACCAATGAGCATTATCAATCTGCACATTCTCAATAGGTCTCTTAATTCTTTTTTTTAGCCAGTTCTCCGTCTCTGCCTTTCATCTCTTTCTGAATACCAAAATGTTTAACATAGCTGAAATACCATAGCTTTAGGTATAGTATCTCATTTCAGATTATTGTCAGTGTTTTGTTCTCTTAGTCAATAGTATCTATCCTAAGTTTTCTGTACAATTTTTTTATAGCTTGAAAATGTGTGTCCCCCCCCCCCCCCTTAAATGCATAGTTTCCAATTTTATGTACCATGCCAAATATCTAAGATGACCACCTGTCTTTGTGATAATTTTTATTGATGTTCCGAAATCACCCTGCAGGTTTAAACTTATCCAGCGTTAGTGTAGCTTGCTAGTCACACATTAATCTTTGAACAGGGACAGTTCGTTTTCACTTGTTCACCCTCTTAAAGCTTTCAGAACTACCTTCCGGGCATTGGGCCAGAGTCGAAAAAGACGGTGAAGTGTCTGTAATCAGTGAAGGTTAAACTATTATTCCAGGTTTAATCCCAGCCAGCCTCTATAAGCTGAGTTGATTCATGACCTGGGTACATGTCTGTCTGTATCTTATCTGTTGCCTTGTGGAATGTTGTAGTATGGTATTACATTTTTGTTATCCATTATATTGTTTTCTTCCTAACTTTATCACAGTTACTATATATTTTTTTAGTGAGCCTGGCTTACATTAAGTTACCATGGAAAAGTACCAGTTTTTCAGTGCAAGCGTAATACTAGACACATTCCAACTTTTTAGTTTCTGCTGTGTCAAATGTGGATAACCACCTATTTTGGTCATCTGTTCTGAATGATTTATGTAAATACTACCAGCATTATTATTGTGCAGTTTGAATATTTAGGTGACCACTAAACAGGGACAGTTCCTAAGGTTTACATAGTTTGTCCTTGAAGTTTTTTTTTAAAGCTACCATCCGGGCATCGGGCTAGAGTTAAAGACGGTGAAATGCCTGTAATCAGTGAAGGTTACACTATAATTCCAGGTTTAATCCCAGCCAGCCTCAATAAGCTGAGTTGATTCATGGCCAGGGTACATGTCAACTGTTTTCACTTGTCTATCGCAGTGTTTTAAACATTTTTTGCCTAGTATAATTTTGTTGCTGTAATAAAATAATTAAGTTTGATGTTACTTTATAGCTAAACAGCATTGTTTATTTCTTCTTTATGTGGCTCAGATCTATATGTTGTGGAAAAGTACTGTCCAACAAATGTGCATCACATGGTACATGACTACTTTTTATGGTTTTTGTTTATTTTTATATTTTTTACCAACCTGTATTCATTCTTCAGGGACAGTTAAGTTTATCAAATCTGCCTTTTGGGCATTAGGCTGAGTCGTCCAGACAATGAAGTGCCTGTAATCAATAGATACACTAAAATTCCAGGAATAATCCAGTCAGCCCTAATGAGCTCAGTTGATTTACACCTTGGACATGTTTGTTAATGATCACTTCTTATATTCCTAAGTTATTCTTCTTATATTTGATTTACACTGGTTTGTGCAGAAAGTGACAAACGTTTTGAAAGTGCTGTGGTTAAGAATAGTTGCAGTTAAACAAATACACTGTAAGGTAGTTTTGGCATTCAATTTTTATGTTGGAAATATAAAATGTATATTGTGATCTTGCAGGTATTACACTGATCAGTGTTGACAGACTTAACCTCCTGAAGATCGCTCCTGGTGGTCATGTTGGAAGGTTCTGCATTTGGACAGAGTCTGCGTTCAGACGTCTTGATGACATCTACGGCACCTGGCGCAAGGAATCTAAGGAGAAAAAGGGATACAAGTAAGATAAATTCTTTAGTGTCTTGTCTTTTTCTTTGCATTTACTAGCTGTAATCAATTTTACAGATCTGAGTTGGTTTCTTGCGCTTCCGGCAGATGCAATCTTGACCTAAAGTAATCTCACAATTAGTCTGGCTCCTGTAAAATGTCTGTTGTTAGGGCAGTGGTTATTTTTCACCATATGGGGGAGCTTGATGGTATAAGTAAGAAAAGTACTAAATTAATATTTTAGTATAAAGTTATGGTTTACAGGTCAGGATGGGGGGAGGGGGGGATTTTATATAAATTAATAATTTTCATCACAGCAGTATATGATGACACTAAGGTCCGTGTTACAGAATTTTAGTGACGATTCATACCTTACTGATATTGCTGTTTATTATTTTATATATGTTCAGCACAAAAATTAAGGGGTATCTGGTTTAGGATTGAAAACTGGACTTTACGGACATTGATTTCATTTGCATTCAAATTTCAGCCTCCCTATGCACAAGATGGCAACATTTGATCTAGCCAGACTACTGAAGAGTGATGAAATTCAGGCTGCTGTGAGACCACCAAAGTAAGTACATTTATTTACTTGTTTTGTAAGATTAACTTTATTAGTGTGCTGCAAATAAAAATATTCATACAACTTGTCTACTTCTAAGTAACAGTCAAAACCTACCTTCCAGCCATTGGGCCTGAGTCGAGAAGACCATGAAGTGCCTAAATATCAGTGAAGGTCAAATAATTATTCCTGGTTAATCCCAGCCAGCCCTCATGAGCTGAGTTGCGCAAGACTTGGATACATGCCTTTTGTTAATTAACTTTTTTGATTCCTTGGTGTTTATGAGTGGTGCCGAATGTAATGTGCTTTGTCCGTTTCCCCCCAAATTAAGCCAGTCTAATACACAACGATTTGATATTTTGTGCTCTGGTATGATTACAAGTTTCTTTGTAAATTTAGATTGAGATAGGTCTTTGGTCAGCTAAAGTTAGGCATTTTTGATATCTCATGTTTTAATATGTTATTTATGACGTTTTGTGGATTCTGGGGGCCCTATTATAGGGAAAACAAGAATAGTCCCACTGCCTACCCAATAGCATGTCGTAAGAGTCAACCAATCGGGAGCTTCTTTCAAGGTCGGAGTGCATCTACCTGAGAGGCAAGGAACCAGCTGTCTGCAAAATAGTCAGATCTGTCAAACGGATGCACACTCAACACTCAGGTTCTGGAAAAGGGCTGCAGTCCAGAAGTGAACAACCAGAACTTTCCACCAGTTTACAGTTGGCGAACACGAAGAGATGTGTTAGGAGACATCAGTGTAAATGGGAAAGATCTCTAAAAACATTTAAGTAACAGCAAATAAAGTGGGAAACAGATAAACTTGATATTGTGCTGCAGAATAGACATACAACTTGTCTACGGATAAGTTAGTTTCTAACAAAAACCTACCTTTCAGCCATTGGGCCTGAGTCAAGAAGACCGTGAAGTGCCTAAATATCAGTGAAGGTCAAATAATTATTCCTGGTCAATCCCAGCCAGCCCCCATGAGCTGAGTTGCGCAAGACTTGGATACATTCCCTTTATTTATCATTACCTAATTTTGATTCCTGATATCGTTTTTTGTTTCCTAATCTTGCCAGTTACAAGTTTCTTTGTAAATTTAGATTAAGATAGGTCTCTGATCTGCTAAGGTTATACATTTTTGATACCTTATATGTTTTAATAAATTATTTATGACGTATGTTGATTCATATTATACCAAAGCATTTGACGTTTAATATTGAGATGATAAAAGTGTTGGAAGACATCTTTGAGATGGGAAAGATCTTAGAATAACTAAAACATGTACTAGAACCAAGTAGCAGCAATTTAAGTGAAAAACATTGGGTACTTTTGAACAGATAATGCAGAGAAGTAAGACAGGGATGTCTTATTCCCATACCTTTTTTTTTTTATCTAAATAATGAAAAAAGGGAATAAAAATTGGAGGATACAATATAAACAATTAGTGTTGTGCAGATAATTAGTTCTCTAGATATGTTTATATCAAAGAAATCTCATTTCAAGGAAAAAGGTTAAACCAAATCAATAAATTCGCAAGTATTTAAGAACAGTCTCATAGGCTTGACAGAGATTAAAAGCAGATTAGGTCAAGCAAAGACAGCATTTCAGAAAATGCAAACAAGTTATAGAACCTGCTGCAAATCTTGGAATGTCAGTGAACAAATTAAGAGGAATTTGGAAGCAACATAGATGTTGTTGAGATGACGAATGTTATAAATTCCTTAGGAAAGCTACAGTAACTAACGATTCTTTTAAAGAAGCTAATAAATGTAAATTTCTCTACAACAATGAAGACACACTTTTTTTTGGACCACGTAATGAGGCATTGGAAAATTGGCATTGTGACAACTGGAAAGGAGGGTAAAAGGCATACCAAGAGAGATGATGCTGGATGTGTTGAAACAATAGCTTGAAGGGATAAGAGTTGCTCCAGGCAACCAGGGATTGTCATCTGTGGAGATGCATGAGCACATACGCAAACTGGCATGGCACATGTTGATTAGCCACTAGAGTAACCAGCCAGTTTTTGGGCTTATATATCACTGAAAAAATTCTAGGCTTTACATAAATTTTTTTTAATCATTTGTGTGCTTTTGTCTTCTAGCAAGGAAATCAAGAGAAAGATTCTGAAGAAGAACCCTCTCAAGAACTACCGTGTGATGGTGCGCTTGAATCCCTATGCTAAGCATGCCAAGAAGCAAGCTAAGCAGATTGAAACTATTCGCAAGCGCAAAAAGGAAGAACTGCTCAACAAGAAGAGAGGGGTAAGTTTCATACATGCATTTTGTTTTATAGTGAAAGACTCGACCTGAATCAAAATAGTGTCCCCATAGAGACCACGTTTCCTGCCACAAATGTCCTTTCCAGAACACACTTGTTGTGCACCTGTATTCTCCCTCATATATGCCCTTTCTTGTCATATTCACAACCTCAGCATTCTTTTATAAATTGTTTTAAGCCTTTATTTTCCAAATTATTGTTCTTGTAACTATCCTATGGCCAAAAACCGCTTGTATATTCACCTGCACCTGCTAATCCCTAACAAGGTATCCAGTTGCCTATGATAGTCAGAAATTGATGATTAATGTTGATAAAAAGATACTTTGTTGCAAAGCAATGCCTATAATCCATGCGTTTGTTTATATTCACAGATTACCAAACCCCTGGAGCCGCTTCCCAAGGGCAAGGCTTCTGCTAAGAAAGCCAAGCGTTTGGCTAAAGTTGCCAGCAAGAAAGCTGCTAAGAAGTAGTTTCTCAGTTCAAGTTCTTGTGCCTGCTACATGATGTGTTTGTGGCTGTCTTGCTGCTTGTTTTGCCTAATGTTGAGCACCATGTTGCACTACGGCATTTATGGTCTCAACAAGTCTTGCATTGACTTGATTTGTATTGATTCTAATTGACGATGTAATTGCTGTGACTCCGGATGTTTACAATGTTAGGGTGTATTGTATACACCAAGGCAGCCACAATCGCATGCATGAATTCAGGAACCAATAAAGTATATTCCTTAAATGATTTGTCTGTTGACTTTATTGTATGTGCTGTTTCAATTAACCAAGTATAAACCAAATCAGTTGCACGGCTTTTCAGTATCATTTAAAAATTGAGTCTGACCATCGTTGGCATTCAAGACAGTATAGACGCTCTAGTGCAGGGCTAAAGTTTTGAGGGACCAAAATGTGTGAAAATAAGGATGGTCACGGGCCAGAGACCCGGGATAAGAATTGGATATAACAAACCTAAAAATGGGAAGAGAAAGCAATTCTTAGCTCTAAGGACTAACCGAGGTGAAGGTGCAGGGAATCCGATGCAAATATTCTACTTCACAATGGTGTCTATGAAAAGGGGGTGAGTGAGTGTGTGTTTGCTGTACTGTGGCGAGGAAGAATTATGTGGACATCAAGGGATGATGTCAAGTGTATTTACATGCATACACAAGATAACTTCAAAAAATGATACATCTATTTTGGTCAAAGTTGTGACGCCTTTTATGAGAAAGATCAGAGATTGTCGAAGTGGCAATAAAGTGAACTGAAAGAACTGCTTCAACAAAACACTATCGACTGTCATGCAAGAAACAAAACAGGGAATGAGGAAGGCCTTGAAGCTGTCTTGTGATTACGGTGCTCAACAAAAGGAACCATCAGTTGACACTAAAACAAGAATATCCTTGCAGTAGGAGCATGCGGGGAAGGAAATTGGCAGTCATGGTGGACGAAAATAAATGAAACTGGAGGCGGGAGGAAGCATTAACGCAATACCTGGCCTCTAGAGAGGAAACAAATATGTAGCACTCAGAGGCCAAAAGTGTAGTGCTTACTGTGAAATTAAAAGAATTTAGAAAAAAAAAATTAACACACCCCCCCCCCCCCAATACATAAAAGGTATCCGCTGAAATTCGTAAGGGGCTCTGCTTATACCACAGACAGAAGATGAAAAGGATACTTCTCAGAGAACAGCTGTGTTGGGGCAAGTTATGTCCCAGAAGTAGAAGAATCATACAACTGAGAAGGAAATCATCTAAAGGGGAGCTTAGTAGAAAGATTTGCTTGTTCTATGCCTGTTCCAGAACCTGAGTTGCGTGCACATCTGTTTTACAGATCTGACTGTATGCATATTGTTGGTTCCTTTTATTATCTGGCATATGCATTCTGACTTTGAAGGAAATCCAGAATTAGTCTACTCTTACGACGGGCTTGTTGGGGAGGCAGTGGGTCTATTCTTGTTTTCCCCACAATGGGACCTTGGACCAACATGGAGATATCAGGATTGAAGAATTGAGTTTAAGCTAGGGAAAGCAGCAGGGTATGATGGTACAACACCAGAGATTAAAAGGAAAGATCCTTTTTCAACGCCTTTAGGTGTATTGGGAATATAGGGCTAGACGTATATTTTATAGACCTATTGGCACTTGGTGGGTGATATGGTCAGCACCATGCTGGCCGCCTTTACTTCACAGAAACACCTGGTACCCACTCAAGGTCGAGGTCATTTCTGAAGAAAGTCCGGCTTCTTCAGGACCCGAACTCATGACCTTCCGAAACTGCTGCCAACGGCACTCCCACAACACGATATAAGTCGCATGTGAGCGACTTCAGAATGCTCTCCGGACAGCCTGGTCTAGTAAAACTATATAGACAGTGAAAACTACACTCCTTGGTGTTCCTGGTAACAGTTACTCCATTATCCTCGAGCAGAGACTTATAAGTCTGACAGAACCTCAGCTGGTTCAGGCTTCTGGATCTGCTCCTCCGACCTGTACACGCTCTCCCACAAGGTACTAGCCCGGTCTGCCTCATCATGCATCAGTATTCCACCAAGCTGTGCAGGGCCAGCCAGTCTGTCCGTCTGTTCATTTCCCAACACACCGACTTGACCCGGTGAAAAAATCCAGACAATACTTCTCACCCGTGCCCTCTGCAGCGAAGCATGCCACTCTGTACGAAGCCTGTTCTGATCTTCCTCAACATGCTTTCTGAGTCAGTTACTATCGCGATGTGTGTGTCGTGTTCTCTAGCTACAGTGACTGCTTCCACCTCCATTCTTAAGCTGGATGTTGTATCACATGCTAGGTTCTCCTGCACCAAACTTCGACCATTAACTTTTGCTAAGAAAACCCAAGCACTTCTTTTGCCTCTTGACACTGAACCGTCTGTGTACATGATCAAATCTTCTGAGCGAGCATTATCTTGAATTAACTGCTGAATTTTCACATCTGTGGCACCTGCTGGCCAGTCTCTGCATTTCCGGCTCAGTGTGATTATGACCCTATACAAGTCTGACTGTTCAGGTGGCCCACTCCTCTCCTCGCCTAATGTTCTCAAGGATGCAAACCTGTCTGATTGTGTCTTCTGCCTGAGCCATCAATGACTGCCCTCTTATAAACCGCGGACCCTTAACTGTACATAGAGCTTCGTGCATCTGATTCCGTAGCTATATCATGGTCGTTATAGCAACAACAACAAACTTCCGGCTGCTCTATTGTTTTGTTGTCCTTTTGTTACTGACCTGTAAACATAACAATCAAAATGAGCAAGGAAACAACTTTAAAGTTTGAACAGCCAGCTCAGCCTAGCAAGCTGTTTCAAACCTATTTAAAGAATCTGAAGGTAAATAAAATACTGGTTTGTATTCTTTTGTTGTTTTTTTTGTTTACGGCAAAGGTGCTGTTAGTACGCACTAAAGTAATACTAATACTATTAGTAATAGTACCGCTATTAGTATGTATTTGTTGAGATGCTAGTGATATTTTATATTTTTGGTATTTACATATAAAACGATACAACTGGATGGACATTAAAAAGTTAAAGATACTGCAGTCTGTTGGTCAGTCCTAAGCGGAAGTATTTTAGTGGCGGACACCACCATAGACAAATTATAGTGGAATCTGACAATTTCAAAAGAAATAACGCCACTACCCTTTTCCTGACAGGTCGCTTTTCCTTTCTAGACATTTGGAAATTGTCTTGAGTCGACTCCATATCTTTACTGGTGGGACAGTAAGCCAGGGATTGATCCCCAGACTGTCTAAACAGGCAATTCAACCCAGAACACAGTCTTCACAGATCAGCCAACTAGCTACTACTATCCCAGCACAGTTCCTGAAGATTAGACAAGGCAGACGTGAAAAATAAGCACAGTATTGCCCCATTACCCACTGAGTACTGATTGAGGCAGTGCAATATACAGATGCCCAATTTGCATTACACCATGGACATTCTTCTTCTTTCGTTCGCACACCATGGACATTAAGGCTATCCTCCAAATAACGGGCACATATTATGGTGGCCAAAAACAGGGCCTCAGTCACATGTAAATTCAGCGAATTAATTTGCAGACTTCCGGCGACTACCGCCACCGCCGAGAGTATCCCCTATTCTGCGTCGATTGGGGCTAAACTATATGGCTGGGACTCACGAGCAAAGCTGCAGGAGATGCGGAAGCTGCTGCTCGTGGTCCAAATGGTGGATGCTCTCGGCGGTGGTGGTAGTCGCCGGAAGTACGCGGATTAACTCACCAGAAGTGCGTAATTGACATGTGATTGAGGCCCTGTTAGGGTGTTTTTGCGACCGCCATATTATGTGCCCATTATTCAGAGGATAGCCGACATTGATACTTAATAGCTAAATGCCAGAATACAAGTATACTGGTACATTTGGCGTTCAACTTGGTATGTGTAGGGTTTAGATGCAAAAACTTTTGCTTGGTATATGACCTTTGTTTGGAATATGTCCCACATGGTAGAACGTGTATGAATCAAAATTATTCATAAACTGCACACTGTCTCTCTTAACCTTTATAGAGACAAAGCCACAAAGAGATGTCAATGATTTTGCAGAGAAGTATTACTCCAGCAAAGCTTAAACAAGCTGTAATACATTGTGTGGAATGAGCAGACAATGTCACATTTCCAAAACATCCTGAGGTGAAAGCTGAAAAAGTTCTTTGGACAGATTTTAGTAAAAGTCAAATCTAAAGAGCCCTAACAAGGTCCAATGTAGTGAAAAGAGAAAGGGTAAAAGAAGGTAACAGAACAAAATTACACACCAGAATTTCAGATTCCTAAAGTTTGATTAGAAGGGGACTCTCCTTCTAAACAACAACCTCTCCTCCTCCTCCCTTCTTAGTACCATCCTAGAAGGCATTAGACTCTTCACAGGAAAGTAAAGTAAAGCTAAATGTTCATTTATTTTATCTAATGGCTTTTGTATTCATGTATTTTTGTTTTATGCAGTATATAAATTATTTTATACAACACCATCAATGTAATCAATGCCACTAACAATAGGATTTTTTTTATGGGAATAGATAAATCACTCTCCCTTTATTTATTATGGGAAAATTTTTCTGGTATAAACTGTTTGGTAAACATCTGAGTATAATGAACGGGTTAAGTACATATACTAAGGTATCACAAATATTCTTCTTTACATTCACTGGTTGTAAACTCCAGCCGAAAGTTCTGGGTGTTTATCCACCTCTGGACTCAAGTCTTGTTCCAGAACCTGGGTGTTGCGTGCACACAAGTTTCACAGATTTGGGTTATTTGTAAGCAGACTCTTCGTTCTTTGCCTCTTGGGCAGATTTACTCTGATTTCGAAGGATGCCCCCATTAGTCGACTCCTACGGCGCGCTTTTGGGCAGGCAGTGGGTCTGTTCTTGTTTTCCCCCACAGTGGGGCTCCACACGGAGACAATTTTGATTAAATTTTGTGGTTATATTACCCTCCCCTCCTTGCCATGTGGGTCCATTGGGGAGGGAGAACATATGAACCCCTGACAAGCATGTCATAAAGCACATGCATTGGGCCAAAAAGTGCAGATATCACAGACTAGCCAAAAACTATAGCACAAGGTGGCAACTGCCCCTTTGAAGGGTGTATGTAGAAGAAAAGTAGGTGGTTGTATTTAGTGTTAATTTGATAGCATTATCCTGGCATTACACTTGTTATATTTTATCTTGATCCTATAGGCATATGAATCCCAGCTTGATAAGAACGAAGATCAGAAAATGTAAGTTTGTAACTAAAATCAGAATATTATCATGTCATACAAGAAATGATTCTGGTAATTTTCTTCTCTCTATGATCTCATAGAAATGAAAAAAATGTTGTCTTAAGACAGAGCATGTGAAAAGTTCAGTCTACACATATGTAAAGAAAGCACAGATGGAGCGATAGCTCTCACTGCCTTACTTCCCAGAAATTAATGAAAATAATAGTCCTAATTTATATGGTTCTATTTGAAATGTGAACCAGCTGTTTTGTCAGCTTATGTTTTTTTAAAATTATATTTTGCAAAAACTCAAGTTCAGGAACAAGAGTGAATTTCAGAAGTGGAAGAACATCCAGAACTTTCAGATAACCTTTTTAAGGATATGAGTCAGAGGTCTATTGAAAACACTAAAGGGTAAAATTTGGGACAAGAGAAAAAGATGGTATTGAGAATCAACTGCATCACACAAAACCTACAAGGAAGTTGGGGCTGATATTTAGGCTTAGCTGAAGAGAGTAATTGGGAACAGGATAGTGAAGAGGCATGATCTGATGACTAAACATCAGTCTTTAGGTTGACTAAACATCAGTCTTTGGGCTGACTTGACATTAGTCTTTGGGCTGACTAAACATCTGTCTTGGGGCTGACTAAACATGTCTTTTGGGCTGACTAAACATCAGTCTTTGGGCTGGCTAAACATCAGTCTTGGGGCTGACTAAACATCAGTCTTTGAGCTGACTAAACACCTGTCTTTGGGCTGACTAAACATCAGTCTTTGAGCTGACTAAACACCTGTCTTTGGGCTGACTAAACCAATTATGACAATGTGCTGATGTAGATTATATTGTTAAGTGTGAACGGTAAATGTACCTTGTCTGAATTTTAGGTTGGATCAAAAATGGCTTCGTGATGAATGGCTTGAACAAAGTGCTATCAAATTGAAGGCGAGAGCAATGAAGAATGAGCAAAAACAGTTGGTTCATGAAATGAAAATGGTTGCAAAAGCAAACCTCTTGGTAATGAATTTTTCTTGATGTTTTCATTTCAGTTTATTAAGTTATTTTACATATGAATTATTTCAGTCTCTATAAGTGTATGATTCATAATTTGTTCCTTTTATCTTCTTCACCTTTTGCATTTACCATTTGTGAACTCTGGCAGAAAGTCCCAATTGTTTATCAATGTCTTGACTTTGCTCTTATCTTGGGACTGAGTGCTACCAGTACATCCGTTTTACAAATCTAGCTTATTTGTGTGCAGCTTGTTGGTTTTTCACATTTCAGGCAGATACAGCCAGGTTTTGAAGGGAAAGTTGATCATGTCTATGCTAGGAAACTTGTTTCTAACATGACCACTGGGGGTCATAGATAGGTCTTGATCAGATTAATCCTAGGTCCTGGAGCACCAGCATTGCAGATAGTGATGCACCTCTGTATTCATTTTATTCTCTTACTTTGTACTTTTAATTAATCAGAGCATACTATCTGGCTTTCTCAGTGCCTGTTTCTATTTCTTCTTATTCTTCTTCTTTGTTCACTGGCTGTAAGCTCAGGTTGAAAGTCCTGGTTGTTCATCCATTTGGACTAAGCTTTGTGCCAGGGCCTGAGTTTTGCGTGTACATCCATTTTACTGGCTTATTTGGGCGCAGCTGATTGTTCCTTGCTGCTCAGGCAGATGCATTCTGACTTTGATGGAAGTCCTCAATAAGTTGACTTTTATGGCATGCTTGTTGGAGAGGCAGTGGGTCTATTCTTGTTTTCCCAACAATGGGGCCCCAGACCCCACACCGGAATGTTTTCATTTGTAATTAGCCTCTTTGAAAGTAATGCACTTGTGATTTTTGTCGACTTCTTCTTTCTTTATGTTTACCGGCTGTAAACTTTGGCAGAAAGTCCTGCCTGATTGCTCACATTCATCTTGTTCCAGAATTTGAGTTTTTCATGCACATCTGTTTTACACATCTGACTTATTTGCATGCAGACTGCTGGTTCCTTGCCTCTCAGGCAGATGAACTCTGACTTTAAAGGAAACTTAAATAGTTGGCTTTTACTATGTGTTTGTTAGGGGGGAAACAGTGGGTCTGTTCTCTTACTCCAAAAATTGCGTTCTGAAACCCATACAGAGGGTGATTTGTGTATCCCCTTTCCACACTCACACTTGAGCATCTGCTATAAAAATCTCCATTCATTGGGTACTTCAGTTAAAAGACTGGTGTTAAATTCATCTGATCTATCTCTCCACTGCCTCCTGTTCTCAGTAAATCTCTTTAGATGGACTTATATCTGAGCCTCAGCTTTGTTGCTTGCAATTTTTTTTCTAGAATATCTTCATTTGATTGTACCCATGATCTTGCTATCCAGTTTGTTCACCAGCTCCCTTGCCAACCAGGGTGTCTTTAACTCTTTCACTATCAAGAAAACCTGTAAATATTCTCCTGTTAAAAACGCTTTTTTGGAATTGGTTGGGGGAGGGGGTGTCGGTCGGCTGCTGAACCCACACAGGGAAGTAGGTAACAAAAGTATATGGGGGAAAATTTACCAACCATAAAAAATAAAAAGGTAAAGGTAAAGTCGGGAGATGTGAACCAGCGTCATTGCACACGGTTATAAACTATAAGTGCTCTGCCACCAGTACAGCTGATAAGAATTGTCCGCCTGTGTCGCCGTTCGCACATAACTCTGTAGCTACAGCGATGTCCCTCCATTTGCCTCAGAGTATCACTCTGGTACCCATTTCCTAGAGGCTGGGTAAACCCTGGGAGCCGCTCGGTTTCGAACACCGACTGTGGGCTGCAGCAAGTCGCAATTTGAAAGCAAGCTTCTTATCAACTATGCTAACGCTGCCCCCTAAAACTATAAAAAATGCCTGTCTACATTGTCATGAAGTTCCAGTATGAGTCATTCCACACAATGTTTCTGAAATTAGAGGTCCAAAACTTCCTCACTATAGTCATGAAGTTCCAGCATGAGTCATTGATTAGAGATCAGAAATCTGTATGTGCTGCAACTGGATGTCAGATTTGTCATTTAGCTGCAATAAATATATCACTGAATATACAATTCTCTAGTGGAAAGTTCTGGCTGTTCATCCACTTCTGGACTCCAGTCCTGGTCCAGAACCTGAGTGTTGCCTGTGCATCCCTTTGACAGATCTGACTTATTTGTATGCAGACTGTTGGTTCCTTGCCTCTCAGGCAGATGCACTCCGACTTTGAAGGAAGCTCCCAATTAGTCGACTCTCACGACATGCTTTTGGGTAGGCAGTGGGTCTATTCTTGTTTTCCCTATACTAGGGCCGTGGAACCCACACGAGGAGGACTTTGGTCTTGATCCAGAACTTCAGTTTTGCATGTACATCCATTTTTACAGGTCTGGCTTTTTTTTATATGCAGACTGTTGGTTCCTTGCCTCTCAGGCAGATGCACTCCAACTTTAAAAGAAACACCACTAATTAGTCACATCACATGACAGCTTGTTAGTGGTGCAGTGGGTCTATTTACAGTTCTCTAAAAAGGAGTACCCGAAACCCACATGAGAAACTCACAATTTTTCTAGAGTTAGTTGACTTAATAACTGACAGCATAGCACTCAGGACATTCCCATAAGCACTCTATCCCCATCTTCAGCAGCCATTGCAAGGGTCCACTTTTGGTAGTCCCAGTGCATAATAATTGTCTATACGTCCTGCCTTTTTTCCTGAGTGTTGAGTGTCAGCCAAATCCTCTTGTCACTCCCTGTTACAACATTCTTTTCTGACCATTACGGTCTGTTTGTGCCTCTGCACTGTTCACACGTCTAAATAGTTTGTGAAATTAACATTTCTAGAATTTATTACATTAAAATGACACTGCATCCCAAGATGCACTAAACTTTACAACTTATTATTATAATATATTTTTCTGTTGCATTTCAGGTGCGTAGGAGAGCTCTGGCTTTGCGATTAGAAACAGATCGACAAATGTATGAAAAAGAACTGGCAAGCTTGGGGAAAGCTTTCCATAAGGAGCGTTTGTAATTTAATATAAAAAATGTGTTTGTTTAAAACAACACACAAGATAAAAGCTGAAGGATAGAGCTAGTGAGTTTAAAAGCTGGTACAAGAGATTTATGTCAATGTTTCACTCCAGAAGTTTTATGGTTTTGAAATACCAGCTGAAAAGAAAGGCCATATGAATTGTTATAATTTATAAAGACAGTTAATGAATACTAGTTTTGGAGATTTAGATTTTTCTCACCCCCAAAAAATATATATAATTTATGGATTATAATGTGCTGGCTGGTCATAAATGTGGCCACTTTAGTATTAACTGATGATGTTTATTGACTTTCGCAATATATTTTTGGAGCCAATATTAGAATACAACATAAATCTTGCCCGTTTCCTGTCGACAGTTTTGATAAAGTAAAACACTGCAACATGTGGTATTCTACTTTTTCAGAGTTGTTGCCTAGAGAGACTTCATAATTGTGCATTATGTAAATATATCTTACCTCATTTACTAATAAAGGTGTTTTAAAACAAATATTTGCAGTATTATTTTATGTTGGGATATGAGGAGCCGGAGAAGAAACAAGCCATATTCTGATTAGCCTGTGTGGGTTCCAGTGCTCTGTTTTTTTTGGGGGGGGGGGGGGGGGGGGGGGGACAGAATAGGCTCACTGTTTTCCTTAAAAGCGTGTCATAAAAGCCGACTAATTATGGGTGCTTTCTTCAAAGTCAGAGTACATCTGCCTGAGCTGCAAGGAACCAATATTCTGCATACATATATGGCATATCTGTAAAACGGAAGTGCATAGGAAGCTCAAGTTCTGGAACAAGACCAAAGTCCAGGAGCAGGCGAACAACGAGAATTTTACGATGGCGTTCAAAGCTGGTGAATGTGAGGAAGTAGATTATTATTTCGGTATCAAGGATCGCTCACATGTTGATTTATAACTGTCTAGTATAACTGTCATTGCTATCAAACAAGTTGAAAGTTGGATGAAACTAGAATATCATGTCTGATGGTGAATGTTTATTTCCTCATTCCATGTCTTATATTTAACTGTGAACTTTATTTATTTATGTTATGCCCTGCATTTAATTGTGAGCTTTACTTTCATGTTGTCCTTATAAGGATCTTGCTCAGACTCCTGGTAAAGAGATGCCATGAGAGCTGCCATTACAGCCTGTGTTTACCACTTTTGTGGTGTAGGCGGGAGGGTCTTGAAGTTTGAGAATTAATGGCTGCATGGCTAGTGCTGTCCCCTTGGACTGTACCGGTTGGCATTTCACTTGATGACCAGAAGCAATGTCATAGAAATCAGGTTACAGGATCTGTGCTGTGTCCTCACTAAATCTTAGAGGGGGTGAGTGCTACCCCACTTGCTGGCTGGTTGGATTAATATAATGTGGTTTTATAAAAGAATGGTGAGGACACTATGGAAAGATAAAAAGTGTAATGCAGTTGTTTTGAAGGAAAGAAATTAATTTACAAGTAACAAGCAGAACTGGTTACTTATATTGGGTTTAACCAAATTGGCAGGGGATCTTAGAGCTGGGAGCCCCCCCCCCCCCCCCCCCCCCCCCAGAGATGGAGTGTCCACAAATATTCTGCAGTTCATTAGCTCACTCCCTGTGCATGGGTGATAATTTCCATCAAAAACTCATGTGGAACTTGAGTGAAGTTCACTGGCTGATTATCCTACTAAATGACAAACTTTGATTCAAATGTCTGTCTGGTGAGAGTTCTATATAACAAACCCTGGTACAAATGTATGTTGACCAAGTCCTACTTTAAGGCTACTTTGGTTGAAATGTCCATTCTTGAATGTCCTCCACTATTGCAGAAACGATTTGGACAAGAAAGGTTCAAACATCTGCTACCTAGCCTCACTTGAGAGTGTAATGACCTAACAGGAAAGCCACGCCTGATGCATACCTCCCCAAACTTCAGCACAAAGTGCTCCAGGGCATTCACATACAAATTTCAACTGGCGTAGAGATTAGAGAGTGTATTATTAGAGAATGTATAGCCCATAATGATTCGTTGGGTGAACCCAGTACCAGTGCACCATGTAGGAGCTCTGCACTTATGAAAGCCTTCTTAGATGGTGGGCAATGCCCATGTTTGGCCCCTACCTCCCTTGAAGGCTGACTATTCGGCACATGGATTTCTAGGAGGGGTCCTTCAAGGACAGCTCCTGTAGATAGATCAAGGGCACACAAATGAGGCGGTAGGGACCTTCTGAATGCTTTTTCCACTGTGATTTAGATGCTGGTCTTCATTTCTAGAACTTATGTTATCAAGGAAGATCAAAAACCATTGAAACAATATATATATATATAAAGAGAGAGAGAGAGTGTGTGTGCATGTAGAGATCTATGCATGTAGTTCTGTCACTGTTTTGGAGATCTAGAACAGTTTTGCTGCAAGCATCCTCTTTTACACATGGGTAACTCAATTAAAACTTATTAAGTGCCATTTAAAATTAATAGTAATGATTACAAAACAAGTCATAAGTGGTTGAATAACATTTTAATGATAAAATAATTAAAATATTCACAACTGCGCACAAGTCAACCCAGTTAGATGCCACAGATACACACATTTTTGTTCATTACTTAGACTGTTATGGTCCACAAAATAAACAAAAGCAGAACAAGACAAAAAAAGTATTTACAAATAATCTTTAGAAACTTTTTTCGGTAATAAAGTTAAAATCATGTTATCGAATTTTATTATAATCTCACTCAGCCAAGACAAAGATGGACACTTGTAATTTACAATTTAGCAATCTGAAATTTAGCATGTAGTCACATGATTGATATGTAACCATTGTTAACTTTCTTATTCTATTTACTCACTTCATTGCAAACCTTCTCAAGCAGCATTCACATTAATTAAGCAGTTTCATCATAAAATGTTTTTAGATGTGTTAGTGTTGCAAAAATTGCACATGAATGAAAGATAGCAAAAAATGTCTAATGCATAGTTAATTAAAAACAAAACAGCTGATTTTATGTGTACCTGCATGTTTTGTGTGTGTGTGTAAATATCTAGATGAGGTAAATATAAAACATGATATGTGTAGATATGGGAGCCGCCGTGGTCTAGCGGCTAGACACTCGCCTGCAGATCGGAAGGTCGTGGGTTCGGTTCCTGACAAGGGCCGGACTTTTTTCAAAAATGACTTCAGCTTCCAGGTCAACCCAGACTTAAGTTGGTACCAGGTACAGTCCTGGGAAGTCAAGGCAGCCAGCTTGATGCTGACCACATCACCCATCAAGTGCCATTTGGTCTATAAAATAAAGGTCTAGCCCTATACGCCTGAAAGGAGTGGAAAAGTGTCCTTTTAAATTTTTTTTAATGTTTAGATATCCTTTATTGTGTGATAAAATAATCACTGCATAAAACAAAACAAAACAATCAAGAGGCTCTGGGGAGCCTGCAAATGAAAAGAAAATTACTAACAGAAATTGAAAAAAAAGGAACCAGTGAAATATTTTGGCCACATTAAAAGACATCACTCTTTTTAAAACCTTGCTGGAGGGAAAGGTCGAGTGTTAGAGAGTAAGAGGTAGATAATGATACAAGTGGGTGGATGCCATCAAACAATGGATGAATAACAGTCTGAGAGAGGGTACAACAAAGACAAGTGACAGAGCATTTCTGAGATCCATTGCAGTCAATCTTCACTGTGGAGATGGCACCTGACTGATTTGATTGATTGTATAAAAGCTGACAAGATATATAAGAAGTGCTAGCAAAAAATGTGTATCAGGAAATGTTCTGTGAAATAAAGATGGCTAGAATGATGTTAACCCTCTCTTCCTCTTAATATCTATCTGTTCACATTTTTTGTGTGTGCATAAAATGTGACTTACATTTAAATAAAGTTATTATAACTGTAATTAAACCTCCTGACTATATATATATATATATATATATATATATATATATATATATATATATATATATATATATATATATATATATATATATATATATATATATATATATATCATCACTGTGCAAGAAGAAATCTCAAGACTTCACAAAAATTTAGTCTGAACAGCAAAGAAAATTACTAATGCATAAATAAATTGCAAGAAAAAAAGGAAAATGTATCCAGGATTTTTTCTAGAAAAATTAAAGATGCCGTTATTCACCAGAGAGTTTCTAAAAAGGTGCCGGTGCTCACCACAAAGTGTCTATTACCATAGCAATATAAAAAAATTATACCTTTAAAAAAAATGTATGCTAAAGGGAAAGAAAATGATTATTACAATTAAACTACAAATGAGTAATAATAACAGACTTAAAAATTAACTATAAAAAAAAAAAAACAGAAATTAAAACGAGATATTCATCAGGCTTCAAGTAATTATTTATTTAAACAGTAGAGAACACAAACAACGATAAAAGATAATAATAGCAACTGAAAATAGTTCACAGAACACAACTAACTTTTTTTTAAATTTTAGAAAGATAAAGGACCGTTTTCCACTCCTGCAGGCATATTGGGCTAGTCCTATATTTTATAGACCAATCCACACTTAGTGGGTGATGTGGTCAGCACACGACGGTCGCCTTAACTTCCCAGGACTTTTACCTGGTACCCACTTGAGGCTGGGTCGACCTCTGAGCCAAGGTCATTTCCGAAAAAATATCTGGCTCCACCAGGACCCGAATCCAAAATCTTCTGATCTGCAGGAAAGCGTATGGCCGCTACACCATGGCGGCTCCCCCTTTTTATTTCAAGAAAACTTAAAATAAATATTTGCCTTATAACCACACTTTCACTTACTTGTTGCGGTTCTTTGATACAGTAATGGGTATTTTTACATTTAAAACAGATAAAAAAAAAAATTCCATAAGTAAAAATTCTACCGGGTAACAAATTGTTACAACTGTAATAATTAGAAGACATATAAAGTTCGTTAATCATGTATACACACATTCATAATTCACATCCTAAAACCACTAAAAGTGTAACTGAAATCATTCATGACTGTCTGACACTGACAAGTGG